CAATATTAATATAATCCTTAAAAAATCGTCAATAAAAATTAACAAATCCCAAAAATCCTTATACATCCTTAACATTCTATAGCATAAGCTAGTCCCTAACTACTTCCACCTTAAATACTTATATATAAATTTATCTTAATATAATAATATATCTAAAAAAGTCTACCTTCTAAACATAGAACTCACACTTAGAGAGTTCAGTATACAATTTAGCATCTTAAAATTTCTAAAATACTATATAAATATACTTCTTATATATCTCAAAGTCAAAAAAAAAAATAAAAACATCGTTAATATAAACAATAACAAAAATATTAACGTACTCCCAGAGTATATAATTAACTATCGTTTAAAAAATTACCAGAGCATTAATAAATCCAAAAGACATAACGAAATACTTAAAAAATCCTCTACGAATTTAAAATACTATCTTCTATTCGTCTCCTTCCTTAATTCGAATTTAGTTAAATACTTCCTTAAGATCTATTACAGTAAACTAATTAGCTCTATAAAATAAATCCCTAAGTTCGATAATAAATAATAAAAAATAACAATTCTTCTTCATAATTTCGTTAAGTTTCCTATAATTAATAATAAATCTTAGTTTCTTCTTTCCTTTCTTTAGTATAAAAAATAGGGGTAATCCCGCAAAAGATTTCGAGGGTCAAATATATCCTTTCTCAAGTTTTTTATTAATATATTCATCAAAATAATCTTATTCTTCTTAGTTCATAAGGTATATAAAGAAGAACCTAAGTTATATTCCTTTTTTAAATTCGATCTCTATATCCTAACTACTATATTCTAATAATCTTATTTCTTTAAGTTCTATAAATAGTCTTATATATTTCTAATACTCCTCGGGTATAATTTAGAGTCGTTCCGATCCCTAATCGTTTATACTAAATACGAACTTCTTAAAGCCTTCTATTATCCTAACAAAAACTATATATTGTATTTCTTCTTTTTCTTTAAGAATTACAAAAAATTCGTTTAAACCCTTTTTTTTAAATCGTTTAATAACTAAATTTACCTATTAAACCTAGCTAGTAATCTAATCTATCTATAGGTTATATTTTTATAACTACGAAATTCTTAGGATAATATCAATATCTCTAATCTCTATAATATCGTATTATAATTAATCTTTATAATCATTAATATATATCGAGAGGTATACGGTCTCTTAATTAATATATCCGTTATTATAATCAACTCTTTTTCCTTCTACTATTTATAATTAATATAAGTTATCTTTCTATATCTATAATAAGTTAAGTTCATTTACTATCTTTAATAATATAAAACTTCCTTATATGCCATTATTAATTATAGTGCGTAATAATTATCCGTATATAACAAGTTTAATTAATAAATATATATCGTATTATTATCTAATTATGTATAAAAACTTATTTTTAATATTCGCCTTTTATTATTCTTTTGTAATTAGCTTTTTTAGTTTTTTAATATTTTATTCTTTAGTTATTCTTTTTATTCCGTTTATTTTTATTATTCTCTTTAGGCTCATACCTTAGGGATATAATAAATCTAGCACTAATCATACCTATAATCGGTCCATATTATATTATTATCATTCTAATATTATATAGGGAAGTCTAAACTTAGTCCGAATATTACCTTATAAATGCTATTAAAATATATAATCGTCTAGTTTAATAACTAGTCGTTAATATAAATATCCTTAATAAATCGGTTATTATATCTTCATAAATAGAAATAACTATCCTTCTTAAATAAGAGGTACTAAAAGCATTTATCGTCTAAGCACTCTACCTAAAATAATTCCTTATAAAATATATCCTTAGTATTAAATAAAGAACTATCTCCCTTTACCTAAAGTATTATAAAAACTTTTTTAAGTTCTACTATTCTATAAAATTATAATATTTATTCGTCATTAAATAAGTTAATATTTTCGTATTAATTTTTATTAAAATCCTCTTTAAAACTAATATCGTTAATACTAAAATAAAATCCATAACTTATTTCTATCTAAGTATATTATTAAGTAATATTACGAAGTTTATCTAAATCATATAATAATTCTTTACTAAAAATAAGTTCACTAAGGCCCGCATAAAGTTCTTCGTTAAATCAAAAATTAATTCTTTTTTTAATTTCCTCAAAATTAAAATCTAATCTCTTAATTATCTTAATTCTATTTTTACGTAATAAGTCTCTAAGCTATTCCTTAACTTTATAAATAAATTTTTTATTACTATCCTCTCGTCTTATTATATAAATAAACTTAGTTAGGACTTTTTCTAAGTCGGGTCCTCTAAACTTAAAGAGTCGTTTTTATTTACTATTCCACCGTACTATATAAACAAAATTACCTATAATTTCTTCTATATTAAGTCCTCTTTCTTTAAACTTAAAAAGTTACTCCCTTATACTTACTTAAAGTCTTTATATAATTCTTTCTTTAAAAAAATAAAAGGTATCCTTTATAATAAGGTCCATCTTAGCCTTCTCCTCTATATTCTTATAAATTTAAAAAAATATAACAATATATTCAAAATTATTATTTTTAAAGGTACATAGTCAATATACTAAAATAACTTCTTTTTTAATCATAACGGCTAATATCTTAATTAATAAAGTAATACCATATCCTAGTCATCTATTATTCTTAAGCTTTTTTAGATACTATCCAATTTATTCCTTACTATTTTAATAAATAAAATAATTATTATCATAATAAGCTATTTACAAAAATTATCTATAGGGGACTTCTTTACTTACAATATTAACTCGTTTTTCTAAAATAAGTTAATATTAAATACGCTTAAGTTATTAACAATCTCTAGCTATATATCCTAACTTATTATAATTATAACACTTAAAGTCTTTTTTTAAATAGTTATTTTCTTTTTTAATAACGCTAAGGTTTATAAAACTATCGTATTATTTATAAATAGTACTCTAGCAATTATTATTCTAATTATTACAAAGTTTTTAGTTTATTTAAAAACTATACTAGGGTTACTATTAATATTTACATCTTATATTAAGTCGTTCTTTTTTTTCTTTTTTATATTTATAAAATCAGTTATCAATTTTAATAGCAAGTTCGCCATACTAAAAAAAGTCGTCTAGTTTATTAAACTTAACTAGTTCGTCCTTAACTTCGTCTTTTAGTCCTTAATAAAATATAAATATTTTAATATTATCAATAAAATCTAATTAAGTACTAAGACGTCTAAATTTAACAAAATATTCTTTTACTAATTTAATTTATTATAACTACGCTAAGTCGCACTTAGCTTATCGTTTCTTATTAAAATCCTAAAATAAAGACTTAAAAACTTCTTCAAATTTACTAAAATTATAATAAATATCGCATATTTTAATAAAGTACTCGTTAAGAATCTCCTTACTAAAATATTTTTTTTAAATAAGTTCAAACTATTTAAAAGCTCGTTCCCTAAAAAAGCTAATAATATACACAACTTTCTTAGTTTTACTAATAAAATCTCTATAATAAAAATTCTAATAATTCTTAACTTAAATTAAAAATCCTTTAAAAGTACCTAGGGTACTATTATAAATAATAAATACGCTAAGTTTAAGCTTTTATCATCCTCCTTAAAGGAGAGTACTAATAATATTAATAGCAACTTAGAGAGTACTAATTTCTTTTTAAAAAGCTTAAACATTATTACCCACTTTTTACTCTCTAAATTAAATAACTTCGTTTTTTAAAACCTAAATACGTTAAAGTCTATTTCCGAACTACTAAAATATAATTTTAAAATTCTAAAGCTTATTCATAATTTCGTTATACATAGTTTATACCTTAGTAATATCTACGTCTCCTTTCTTAACTCTTTCCTAAAATCGTTTATAAATTTCTTTTTTAAAAATAACCTCGTTATTAGAATCGACGTTCATCGGGGCTATCTCTATCTCTTTAACTAAGCTCTAAACAAATTATTTAAAAAAAATAAAAAAACCCGGGGTAAATAATTTAGCTAAGGCATAAAAAAATATCGTTCGTACTATTTAGTTAATCTTTTATAAAATAAACTTACTAAATAGGAACAATTAAAATATTATAACTAACTAGTCATAATAAATATATTAATAAAAGTTAAAACTACGATAACTAAATAAACAATATTATAATTATAAATAACTTCCTTAAAACTATATCTATAAGTTATAAAATAAATAAAGCTTTAATAATTAATCATAATTTTATTAAAAAGATTTCTTAATAAAAATAACTAAAAGCGATCGTAAAATCTAATATTAAATTAATTATTAAAAAAGCTATAGAAAGTCTATCTTCGAGCCTAGCTCGAAGTTATACTATATATAAATCTTATTCCTAAATATATCTTTTATCCCTTAGGTTATTCCCAATCAATCTAATCTAAAATAATTATTTAAACCTAAGTCATATTAAATTATTTTAATCTTAAATAATCCTTATTTTATTAGCACGTAACTTATCCTATAGTTTTTCTATTCTACGAGGAGTAGCTATATCCCTATTTTATTTATATATATAGTATACTATAGCCGCTATAGCCGGCGGGCTAGCCTCTAGGTTAGTTATATATATTAAGTCGTAATATAATCTATAATATTATAAGTTATATATATTAATAAAATCCTTACAGCTTAGGGACCTAAATAACGTTACTCCCTATCCCAATAGCTTCTTAGCGTACTTAGGTCTATAGGCGATTTAACATATACAATGGGCTTATTGTTAAATAGAAGCAGGCGTTGAAAAAAGAAAGATTACCTCTCATTAAATAAGTATCAATAGATAGACGCTCTTGGCAATCAGGGGTTGTGATTTCTTAGTCAGCAGTGCAACCCCCTCTCCGAGGGATTTCTGCAAGCCATCCCAGTCAGGCAGCCACTTCGCTCCTTCACACAACTCACCAAAACATTGTAAGTAATTCGTCGTAAATGCTAGGAAAAGACGTTCACTGAGAAAGTGATAGGTCAGAGCAGTCCAAATGGCTGGGCCTACTCAATCGGAAGACGACACGTTCAACAATGTCAGCATCACCAGCACCCAAGAGTCTTTGCATCAATTTCAAGATGACTTCTCGGGATCTCACACCAGTCGCCGCGAAGTCGTCAAGAGACTTCACTATACCATCAGCCTACCACCCGTTAGCGAGAAGCGTATGAAGAAGCTCCAAAGTACCCGCGAAGCTGTCGCCAACAATGCTGCCTTTACCCAAGCCATCGCGGACCTTTTCCAAGGCCTAGGTGATTGGGAGACAGGCGACATCGCTCTCGTCGTAAGGGTTGCCTCTCCTTCGGATACAGACGAGGATTTGTTTGATTCCTTGGATAGCAGCCACTCTGGCAGACCAATTTGGGATACGCGTAACGACTTCAAGTATATCAGCTTCGACCAGTCATTGGATACTACATCGGGCCTCGCAAAAGTTAGGGCTATATCCAGCGTGGATTTCCGGGAAGACTTCAGCAATGTCAAAAGACGACTTCACCCCGCCTGCATCTCTATCATATCCCAGGCACTCCCCAACGTCAAGGCTTTAACGTGGAACTGCATCATGCCTTCACGCCGCCTCGATTCCTCAAGAAAAGAAATTCGTCTCGCTCTCGCAGAGACCTTGAAGCATGGCGCTTTCACTAACCTCAAAAGCCTCGAGATCTATCTCGAAGATCCAGACCCGCTGAACGAAAGCTTTGATCCCGGGGCATTTTGCCAGAGCTCCGGGGAAGACGCCCTTTCGTTGGCCATTAGCAGAATTTTACAGCTACCTGCAATTGTCAAAGTGCAGCTCACGGGTCTCTGGACTATCGCGCCTACAGCTTTGGAGGCGGCAACGGACTTTGGGCCCTTGTTAGAGTCGGTTAATATTGAGGGCAGCGGAACAACCCCCGACGGTAAATGGCTTAGCATCGGGGAAGAAGAGGACGATGTGGAACAGGATGAGCCAGACTCAGACTCGGACGCTTCTGAGGCTGCTTTTGACTCTGCAGACTCGGAGACATCCGACTTTGTTCCGGAGCATGAATGGGAACGGGAAGCCGGGAACTTTCCGACGAACTTGTGGCGAACTTCAATCGATACCGAGGTATTTGTGCCTCATATACTACCTCTCGTCAGAATGACACTCAAGATGTCACCGCTCCGGACTTTAAAGTACGAGATTCAAACGCAGCCGTCGCCATTCTTTGTCGAATATTATGCACCGGGAGTCGAGAATGTCTCGGCAAAAAGGGAGTCAAATCACCGCGGAGCTTTCGAACGGGACAACACCAGCCGTTCAAGATGGTTTCTCACGGTCGTGCAAGGCTTTGACCCGTCCTGGACAGTGCCTCCTGATGTAACCAGCGCAATCGAGGAGACTGGGGGATGCCTTTTCTGGGATGGACCTAATTCTCTTCATTAGCCTCATGCGAATAAATTAAGACCTTGACTCGTTGTCTCGTCTCTTTGCTAGTTCAAATGAAATGTTCACAATATCTGCTGACCTAGTCATGGTTCGGAAAGGATGGTTGGCATTTGACGTTTCACATCACATACCAGCGTGAGCACCAAAGCCTCGAGAGTGTTTTCGCTTGGAATTAACATGTTTAATTACCTTCATTACAAGGTTAGACTCCTGAGAGAGTGTACAGGACACGAACATCGTGTTACCTCCATAAATTTAGCTATCCATGAAGCTGTCTACGGCATTGGGTTCACCCATTTGCCCTTGATCTCGTTATCGTAGACAGTCCGTAGCGCTTGGATAGTGGCTCTCCTCTTCCTCCTGTCATCGTCATCCTTTGATGCGTCGGTGCCCTGAAGGACCTTCTCTGCCGTCGGGATGTACGTGTCCAGCAACTTAACGAGCTTGCTTCCTGCGACCTCAGCGCTAGTCTTGACAAAGCTGAGCCAACTCTGCTGAAGGTTGCGCTTCGTCCAGGTACCCTGGCTGACCAGGTGATCCTCCATGACGTTCAAGGCTATGCCCACGCGGTTGGCTTGGTCGCGGTACAGCGTCGAGAGCTCGGGCTCGATAAGATACTTGAAGGTGACGACGGTGATCTTCAGCGTCCGTAGCGCTTGGTCCAGGGGTGTGCCCTCCTTCCACTGGGCTTCTTTCTCCAAGCTGGCCTCTTCTTGGAGTCTCGCGCCAGAGCCAAAGGACTTTTGCTTCTGCCAGTTGACCGGCTCGATGACGGAGATGAATTCTGTAGGAAAGTACGTGGCTGAAGGATAGGCCTGCTGGACGACCCAAGTGATCGGGTTGACCCTGGCCCCATTCACATTCAGAGGGTCCGGGGTAAAACTCATCCATCCGCCTGCTTTCATTGCGCGACAGAGGTCCGTCACACCACGACCATCTGCGCCTTCGATACTCAGCCAGCGTGAAAAGGTCTGGGCTTCCAGCACGTGCTCGATGACATATTGTTCATTATTGCCCTTCTTGTTTTTGAGAATCTGCTCTCCCCTTTTCTGGATACTACTAGCCACTGTAAAGGGTGATGTTAGTTAACGTTGTTGGCAAACCGGAGGAAGGGATAGCATCAGCGCCGGTGACAACTATGACTTACTATTTGAACAATCGGACCAGTCGTCACTGTCGTAGATGAACATGTTTCCACGATCCAACGAGGACCAGTCCAACCAATTAACGGGATAGGATGCAGCACCGGTACAAACGGTAAGAGTTTTGCCGGCACGCTTCTCCAAGTCGCGGTTAAAGAGGCCCGACTGGTACGCAGGGTTCTTGCTCGAGTTGCCGCTGAAGCCATCGTCGATGGCGACGGAGCGCTTGGTGACTACGCCCCACGAACCGTCGTCCTCTCCCTCGTAGAACCCATCCACGGCGGTTATCTCATTGCAGGCCTTTTGCTCTTCGGCGCCGCCCTTGGGAGGACATGTCTTCTCTTTGCTGTTGGGCTTCAAGTCTGACTCGTAAGGTATGATTCGCTTTTGCAGACTGGGGGGCGAGATGGAAAATAGCTCGATGTCGGTGATCTCGGTTGAGTTGAAGCCAGAGTCAATCAGGCGTCGCTCAGTTGCGCCAGATGCGCACTGCCATTGCTTGCCGTTTCCGGGAATGAGATTTTTCTCAATCTGAGTGACATGAGTTAGCACCATGGAACCCGCTCACTTGGACAGCCATCTCAGGGCCTAATTACCTGCTTGAATGTGTGTGTCTGAGGAGTCCACTTGAATATCTCGGGGATTTTGGCCTGAGCGACAAGAGACATGCCAGCATCCACACCATAGCCGAAGCCGCAGTCGAGATCGGAATCAACCCTCATGCGGACCCAGGTGTCAGCCACGAGCTCGACATCGGTGGTAGCGATGCTCCAAACATCGTCGAACTCAAGACCGAAGACCATGGTGGGCATTAAATGGAATTCAACATCTCCGTTTCCTTTCATCTCGGCATCAAAGGTGGGCTCGGCAAGATCTCTCCTGTCAATGCCTCGCTTGGCCTCTGAAAGCTCCTTCGGATTGAACTTCTCATCGTGTTGGGGGTAGGTCTGCTGGATGTCCCAGTCAACAATGTTGACTCTGGCTTCGACACGGCCCTCGACTGTAATGTCGGCCTTGATCTCTCCTCGAAGATCGAGGCGGGGACCAACTAAGTATTTTGTCCGTGAGCTACTTCAATCTGCATCGTCTCTAGGATGTATGAAGTTACTTACGCGAACCGAACCCAGGAATAACAAAACTAGCGCCTTGGAAGTAGATGGGAGCAATGTTGAACGCTTCAGAGTCCCAGTGTAATGACATCCTAGCGTCGAGGGTGAAGACGGCATTCACGCTTCCCTGTAAAAAGGTCTTTAGTACGTGCTCAAAGTCTCATGGATCCCACAAGTAATGACAAATGATGCATGAAAAGACCCGAGAACAGTGGCAAAATGGAGACATACCTTATTGGCAAAGTGCAAATAAGACTTGCTGAGATCCAGGCCAGCCCCAGAGTTGAGCGTCGTGATGAGGGCAAACCCGAAAGACGTCGCCATCTTGATGCCGGCGGTTGCAACGGCGTCGATCTTGCCCTTGAACTCACCGCAGTCCCACTCGTCTCGCAACAAGATTGCGGAGAGGTCTTCCTCGTAGAGATGGCGCTTCTCCGTTTTGACGATCTCGACTTCGACGAGACTCTCCAGCCACTCGAGGACGTCGTCACCGAACCATCGTTTATGCAGGTCCTTCTTCGACAGACCGCCAAAGTGGTTATCGTCGCGCCACTCCTCTTCGAGCCATCTCTTGTGGTTACCACCGAATTCTTCGAGGGATCTTTTGCGCTTCTTCGATACGGGGCGGGTGACGATGTGGTCCCAGTAGCCCTCCTGGTTTCTGTTGTGGACGACGGAGGTTAGGATAAACCACTAAGTGCGAAGAATAGGGGCACTCACGAGTAATCGATACGGAGCTGTGTGTCACCGTACTCTCTGGGAACAAGCTTGAAGTTGTAACCGAACTTGAGGTCATAGATAACGGGCGGGCTAGCCGCTCGTCGAGTGAGGTGTCCCGGCAACGTCTGGTTATGGGAAACCTCCAGGCTCTCAACGACGGCATACTTTCCCGGTCCGCAGCCCTGATCTTGCGGCATCTCTATGATGGTTCCTGGTGCGCCATTTCCGAGGAAAAGCTCTTTGCAGTTGCTGTCCTCGGAATCGTTCATGCACACCATCTGAACAGTCTGAGCGCTAAGAGAGTGAGCATCATTACAGTTAAAGAGCTCCCAGTGGGAGCCGTCGCGCTTGTCGAGGGTTACTTGGATTTCTGTAGGACTAGCCATGACGTAGAACTGGATCGCAGACTTGTTCGGGTCGTCGTTGCTGCCGCCGGTTTGCGAGCCGCCCCAAGTGTCGTCTGTCTTTGTGTTGCCCTTGGTCTTAACATCGTTACCAGTGGGGGGATCGGGAAACAGGTCCTTCAAGGCCGCCGGGAGGAAGAGATTGGAGCCACTAGGCGGATCGCAGCAGAAGATACGCGCGCGATGAGGGTCGGGATGCGGGAAGCACATCTCGCCACCACCGGCTCCGGCCCAGGTGAGCATGACCTCCGTGTTGAGGTCGCAGTGAGCGTCGAAGCAGCTTCCGGGCTTGCCCTTCCACTCGCAGTTCTTCCACTTCTTAAACTCTTCGTCGTCGCAGCACCAGAGACTGATCTTCTTCCACGTGTACTCGTCTAACGCATCTTCTAGCGCCGTGCCCGTGAGTCTCTGGAGATGTTTGAGATCGACATCCGGAGACTTTTCGCCAATGTTGCCGTTCCCGAACCCGCCGGAGAAGGTGAGTGCCTTTTGTCCGCTCGGGCACTTCTTGCCATTATCGTGGAATCTGCACTTGTCGCCGTCGCTGTTCTCGGCCTTGGTTTTGCAGCAGTACATCTTATGGCCGTCTTCACAGTACTTGCCGTCGCCCCATTTGTTCATTTGGAGGCCGACCTCGCCGAATTCGCAGCGGCCATTGCAGGTTGGCGCGTCGCCTTGGCTTCTCCTGTATGGCTATCAGTGACATGCCTTGAGAAATAAACAAAAGTGGTGGTCTTACCATTTACAATCCTTCGGATCCGGTGCAGAATTGACGGGACAGCAGAGCGTGCTGTCTTCCTCAGAGGAGTGTCGGGTGAAGAACGTAGCATCACCACACGGTTGAGTCGTGACGGCCTTGAAGCCAGCCTTGTCGCACTTGCCTCCACAACCAGTGACGTAGCAATTCTGAGCTCCTAACTGCTCCCATGTGGCCGCTCCATCTTCAGAAAGAGTTTGTCGCAAAGCCAACGCCTTGGTGGTTGGGCCAACGACAGCACCGAGGGCGTCTAGGTTGTCCGTATCTTGGTCAATCTGGAAACCAGTCAATACCCAAGCATGTTTCCGATGTGCATCCCTGTTCTTCGGGACGCCAGGTGGCATGGATATGCGATGTATGATGGGTGTGCCAACTTACCGACCAGATTAGCAGGCCACCAAGACCCTGCTTGTTCGCAAACTCGATCTTGGCTTCGATGGTTTCAGGGTCATCCTAGAAAAAGTCAGCATATACCGTCCTTCACGAGTGCTGACATCAGTTTGATGCGAGAGAGCTGTGCACATACGTAGCTGACCCATTGGTTTTGGTTCCAAACAATGTATTTGATCTGGTGCTCCTTGTCGTAGTACGGCTTAAGGTTGTGTTTCTTTATGATGTCCTCAATCTCACGGTACGCCAACGTTCCAGAATTTGCAGTACACTAATTTCAAACTGTCAGTAAGCCAACAATGAACTTATCCATGCTCATGTGCAAAAACATCAACATACCGGGCCAGGAGCTGCACCTCCGCGGAACTGGCATCCAGGCTTGTTGCAAGCTGGGTCCGTTAGCTCGAAAGAGCGACCGTAGAAGCCAATGCCAAGGTTGAGCTTCTCGGGAGGAATGTCATTGCGCCAGTACAGGTCAAGTGCGAGCTTGATCTCGGTGAGATTTGAGTGTGCGAGCACATTGGAACCGATGGGATTCCAGGCATCCCAAACGCCGTGAAGACTATCTCAAGTTAGCCAAGGACTGTCAAATGATGAGCACTCTCATGAATAGATGGTTGTCCAAAGCTGGTAAGGCAAGGCATATCTTGGAAGCTGGGACTTACTCGTAACCTACGAAATCGAATTAGAAATTGGTCTTTGAAACGTCATGGCATCACGAAGATGTAATACTTACTCATAATGTTCACGAAGTCGACAGCGTCGGTACTTGCCTTAAGGTCGAAGTGTCGCAGGTACCAGAAGCTAGTTGGCGTAGTGAATGAGACAACATAATCAAGGGGTTGGTTCTTGATGGCTTCCTTAAGCTCCTTGAGCAGGAGTGTGAAGTTCTTCCCATCTTCTTCGGCGCCGCCGCGATCATCAGCTCCTGGGTATTCCTGCGAGAAGATTATTAGCGAGTGGTAGAATGGAGGTTGAAGCAGACCTCAAACATACCCAGTCGAAGTCAACACCATCGAAACCATACTAGAATTCAACGTCAGCTAGAACAACCCAGATCAAGGGTCAGAAAATCTTGATTACCTGGCGCATAAAGCTCATGAGATTGCCAATGAACTTGGATCGGTTTGCTTTACTACTTGCAACATCATGGAAGACCAGCTGGGTTGCACCAGGGTCATTAAAGGTCCACCCTCCAAGCGCTACCATGACCTTGAGAGCTCGGTTCTGTTTCTTCATCGCGGTCATCTTGGAGAAGAGGTTCGGCTCGAGGTCGTCCATTGGAACAATCTGGAAGTCGCTGGGCGAGACGTAGGCGAAGGAAAACATTAGATGAGTTAACGCTCCCACGGGCATCTGGTCAATCGACATGCCATTGCATGCTCGCGAGTGTACCCATGCCTCGTAGTAGCCTTGTCAAGTCAGTGATCCAGCCTATTCGCCAATACAGTTGTAAACAGAGAAAACGTACCGACGACTCTCTGACGGACATTTCCGTTGGATGACCCTGAGCCTGGCTGGTCGCAATTGCTTTGACAGCTGGTTTCTTCATCATCGGTCTTCTTGCAGAAGTCTTCAGTCATGCCGCAAAAGCCGAATGGCGAGCAGCAACTGCATATCCACACAACAGAATCAGCTTCTATCTCGTTAGATGAATAGGAAATTCCGAAACTTACACGTTTAGAGGGCACTCCTTACCCTCCGTTTCGGCATATCGGCCACACTCTGCCTTTGCGTCGCAGTTGCTCCAGCATTTGTCATTGGGAGATTGTCCATTTGTACCACAAGCCTCCGGGCCATAGTTGCACCACCCGGTCTTGGCACAGCAAGCACCTGTCAATCAATCAACGTTAGATAAAGCCAATTTACGTTGAAGCAAAGACTGGTACCAACCGTTGCCGCAAGGTCTGAATTCGTTGCAGCTGTAGTCCTGTTCTTGAGTCACCTGGCGACCCAATAGCAGATCACGGGTCTGAATCGCGGCCAGTTCGACACTGGTGGGGCAAAGAGGAAGGTTTCGATCTTGAGCTGGTTTGACGGAGTAGTCGAAAGGGCTGCCATGAAAGACATTAGAAAAACCTGCACTACCTCATAGATAGAATGCCTCCAAACTCACTGGTAAGCTTCGTTACGACATGTTGTGATTGCCAGTTCAGCTTTGGATGGGCCATCTCGGCTACCTGTAGGAAAACCAGCGGAGAATACTGAGAAAAGGGAAAGGAAAATTATAATGAATGTAGAGGAAGAAAACTGTTGAAAGAAGGTGTTGAGGCCTGCCATTATGGCGGCTACGAGTGTCGTCTGAATGAATGAATGACAGTTACTCAAGGCAACATGAAGCCCATTTGTCTTGAGAAAGAAACGCCAACATCTTGCCCTGAGGAGAATATCCTCGAGTACATGTATTCTGACAACCCCTCGGACTCGTCTGCCCCACGACCCTGAGAAGGGTCGTTCGAGGAGACTCTTCGCCTCGAGCACGGAGATTTTCGGACGCTCCCGACGACAGGGGTCTCCATTTGCAGGCTGCAGGTTCGCGTTGATGTTGATGACAGTCAGGCACCACGCGGATTCTGCAGGGGAAGTCGACAAGGATCACGCGGCCGCTGGGTGCGGCCTCTGGGTACGATAGTGGAGTAAAAGTAGCGATAAAGTCGGTCTCGGTACTTGGCACAACCTAAATTAACTTAGCTCACGGAGTAAGCTTCTCTTTCTTAAGCATCGGGAGGAATTAGCGCTTACACTTTGTATTTGCCGCAATCTTTCGTTGGGGAGGAAACCCCATCTTCGTTGCGACCAGCATCGGATGCAGAAAACAGGAGAATGGGTATTTGCAACTTGCACAATTCTAATTAACGCATGCTTATGACCGGCCCTGAATCCTTCGCCAAGCCGGGCTCACCATCTTTGGCGAAGAATTCGGCGAAATCACACTTCAGTCAGTGTCTAGAGTGCAACCAGTAAGACGGAATGTGGGCGTGATGCTCACCTGGTCAGCGCAGCAATAATTAATAATGCAGGAAGGCTGAAGTTGATGGTGTCAGGCAGCATCGTTCACATGAAAGCGATCCATTTCGGTCATTGGCGTTGGCGTTGCCAAGATCGTGGCCGGTATCCGTCGCCGCGACGAACTCCGAGTTCATATTATGACTGTGGTCTATCCATGCACGATTGCTTTCTCCTCGGTCTCTCGCCAGAGCCTATTTGGTCTTCCGTTTGTTCTTTGAGTCTCGTGAATCTCGAACTCCCACAATCCTTACTCCTGTCTTCTTGACAGTGCCTCTCGTTTAAGTCATCCTCGCCAGTATGGCGTCCACGCTCTTTCAGACCCGGTTTCTGCGGTCCAGCACCCTGATATTCACTCTTTTCACTTCCTTGACCCTTGGAAGCCAGCTGTTCACCACCAACACTGTGCCAGAGGGGCTAAGTGCAGGGTGTTCTAATGCTCTCATGGCCGATATTGCTTGCGGCAGCGGCATCACCCTTTTCACCAGGGGGGAGTACTATCCCCTCACAGACCTCAAAGCGCTTTGCGTGGACTCCTGCGCCTCTGCACTCGAAACCTACCACGGCCATGTGGTTTCCAGTTGTGCTGCCGATAATTGGCCCGAAGAGATGGAGGTCGACATGCCGCTCATTATGATCACTGAGCTGCTGAGATATAACTACAACTTAACATGCCTGACAGACAGCGGCCGCTTTTGCAACAATGTCGCCGCAGCTTTCGCCACCTCGCGGGATCCGGAGGCAGCGAACGTACAAGGTGCTCTGCCTGCCGGCGGCGACTTTGGTGACTACGTGCCGTCCGATACGTGCGACGGCTGCTTAGTGAAGAACCTTCGGTTCCAAGCCGGATCTCCTTACTTTGACGGGCCAAGGCTGCAGGCTCAGTCAGTTTACGAGTCTCGCACGGCTGATTGTGGTATCACGGGAGCACCTCTCATCACTACCACGATTAGCCTGTTCACGTAAGTATCAGTCCCTTGTCGAACTGAATTGCCACAACGCGAAGTGTTCAACATATTACCGAATTTGAATACAAGATAACAGTATCTGACACACCATTTGTAGACAAACAACGGCGGTTCCGACGTCCACACCAACTTGCACGGGGAAGACTTACTCTATTCAGCCAGAGGACGATTGTAACTCCATCTCCGTATCACAGAGCATTGGAACGGAGTGGCTCCTCTGGGACAACGAGTTGCTGGCATTCTGTCACAAGTTCCCTACCGAAGGAGAGCTTTGCCTGGTTAATACTTGTGATGTCTACACCGTGGTTGAGTCGGACACCTGTGACAAGATTGCAAAAGCTCACGGCATGACTGTGACTCAGCTACTATCTTGGAATCCTGTAGGTCCTGTTTTATTATAAGCACGGGTCTTTGAAAGAGACTAACTTGCGTAAGTCAATCAACTCTGGATGCTACAATCTCAATCAAACCATTGGCCATCAAATCTGCGTATCAGTTCCGGGAACTCCTTACGTGGAGCCCTCGCAAACAACTCTGCAGCCCTCAATTCCTCTGACTGCCGCGCCGGTTCCCACTAATGTTGCGGCCGAGACGAACACATATTGCGGTAGATACTACACTGCTATTCTCGGAGACTATTGTAACTTGATTGTTATGAAGTTCGGGATTTCCATGGACGATTTCTTATTCCTCAACCCCGCAATTAATGAGAACTGTACCAACTTGTACGCTGAGGAGTCATATTGCGTGCAGCCTGTCGGAGACTGTGAGTTTAACCAGATTCACAAGCTTTCGTACTCTGAGCACGTCCTAATCTGTGGTTGATAGTAAACACTTACACCGGAAAGCCCGGACACATCACCTTTGCGATCACAATGACGGGAACCGTCGAGGACTCTGCAACAACGCTGCCTGACAATATCTGGACGGCTCCAACTCCTACGACGACGCTTCTTCCCGTTGCTACCGGGACAAGAAAGGATTGCTACCACTATCTAACGGGAGACGACTGGCAAAAAGACATGACCGGCATGTATTTGGCATCTAATTGTGCTCTTGCCGCCGAGGTCTTTGACGTTACCCTAGAAGATCTCGAGGTCTGGAACCCGAGTAAGTCTCGTCAACACTTGAACATTGTTCAAGCCCAGTCGTCACTAATCAAATTCCTCGGTAGTTCTCGGAAACGCATCCGATGCCGGATGCTCCTTCGAGAGCGGCTTTCGCTATTGTGCAAAATGGTACACTGGCTCAAAGAAGTTCACAGACCCGGATCCGCTGGACTCAAACTTGCCGGCTAGGGTGAGTTAATGTTCTTCATTGCCTATGAACCTGTGTGCAAATTACTGAATTCTTACTCAGGATGGAATGACAGAGAACTGCACTCAAATTATTGAGGTAGACACTAACGGTAGCCCATCATGCTCGGAGATATTGAGTGAATGGTCTCTAACCATCGCTCAATTTTACGCGTGGAACCCAAGTGTAGGTCCAGAGTGCGGTGGTATGTGGGCAGGTAAGAGATCTAACAAGCTTTGAAGCCCAGAAACAGTGGCATATCAAGAAGTGGGGGAACTAAATCTCATACAGGGTACTACTACTGCATCAGAACCTCAGATTTCGTGGAACCGTCAGCGACAACAACCATTGCGACTTCAACATCAGCTGTGGCTTCGTCGACCGCAGGCCCAACAGCTCCCGCAGCAACGCACGAAGGCCAGCCAGCTAATTGCAACAAGTGGCACGTGGTCACTGGTAAGTTAATTACTCCTGACGAAGTGAATCAACTCTTACTCAATCTGAACAGGCGGCGATTGCTCCACGGTTGAGGCGGAGTACGGTCTTACGCATGCCCAGTTTCTGGCTCTGAACCCTGCTGTATCCGAGGACTGCCTCACAAACTTCTGGGGTGGTTACGCGTACTGCGTCGGTACTAGCGGCAGCGCGACCACCACCTCGGCATCGGTATCAACTCCGACCCCCACCACCGGCCCCGTCGCAGCCCCGTCGCCGAACCAAGCGGGTAACGCGATCGCAACGTGTAATAAGTACGCCCAGGCTCCGTCGGGCGACTGGTGCTCGGCCTTCATAGAGAGGTACGGTCTCGCGGCTGCAGACTTTTACAGTTGGAATACGGTACTTGGAACCGACGGTGCAAACTGTGGTACCAGCTTCTGGGGGACTTATTGGTACTGTATTGGTGTTGCGGGGTAAGATCTTGGTCCCAGCCCCAGAGTGTTCTGACTGTTCATTGGAACCACGTCCATCACACGAAGCCTTCATACGGATGATCTCCTTGCTTTATTATCAGATATACCGCATCTCCTCCGTTCCATAGTGCCAATCAGTAAACAACCATAATGGGTGCTTTTTCAGTTCCTTCCTATACTTGTGATACCTGCCTTGGTGGTCGCCTGGAACCTTTACCATGAGGTTGCGAAAAGCAACATGGTGATTGTCCCACCTGTACCTCAATTCCTTTCGGGCTAGATTCCTGTGACGGGTCATGTTTATCAACCTCACACAAGATTGTAGTGATGTGACATCATCGGCGTGTGTTTGAGCCATTTTGTGGGCACGTTGGGTTCACGAGCTTGACTTCCACACGGGCTATGGATCATGCCAAGCACATGGAACCCTAACCCAGGCTGGGTTATGGCGTCTAGACCACAACGTTGTACAGTATTGCTGTGCTGCGCTACGTGTGAACACATTATGAAGCCATATCTAGGAGGAACATCAATTCAGATGCTCTCGGTTGCTTCTTGTTCTGCATGCTTGACCTTATTATATTTCTGTGGCAACCTGAAGTCTCCCGGGCATCCTTTGTTTTCGATGCGTATGAACGAGAGATCTCTCAACTAGACTTATCTCTGAAGGCGATCACCTAAGGTACTGGAAGATTTATTAACAAGGTAATTCGCATGATCGACAGTCTCTTGTGCTCCCCACACGGCTAGCAGAGCAGTAAGCACGTCGATACTGCAGCACAAATGGTCCAAATCTGACAGTTGGGAAGCGGAGCATCATCCCATAAGGAAGGAAGAACTTTGTCATTCAGCCGTCAGCACTAGGCAGTTTACAGCATTTTCCGCCCCTTATCAAGTCTCAAGGCCAGACGTTTCGTCTCCAAGATTATAATGAGCTATCCCGCCCCCCCCCCCCCCCCCAATTTTCCCATGTTGAGCAAAAGCTCTTCAAGTTCTTTCCGGATCTTTCAGTTGTCAGTGCTTTACAATGACCACTCAGATCCCCTCCATCTACAAAGCCGTCTTCCTCTACTGGGACCCACCGTGCGCACTCTGGGGCGCATTGATGTCTTTCTTCACGCGCGACTGGATGCTTGACCAGTTCTTCCTCGAGTCTCATACCGGAACGCGCGATGCAGCCCACGACATGCTCCTTTACCAGGGTGGCGGAGCTTTGGTTGGCTGTGCCATCCTCAATGGCGTTCTCCTACGATACACGCAAGACATTGGAGTATGGAAGATCGCGCAGGCCTCTATTCTAGCGATCGATCTTTCCCTTCTTGCGGGCACCTACGAGGTGTTTGGGAATCAAGGCCGTCTCTCGCCTATGACGTGGCAAGTCGGGGACTGGGTTGGGATGATCATCACGATTGGAGTGACGGTGGCGAGGATCTCGTTCCTGGCCGAGCTTGGCTTCAAGAAACAGAAAACCAAATAATGAATACGAGTTTGATGGTTGAGGCCGAAGGTGCCTCTTGGTGGCTCGCCGAAATTGTGTGGATTGATTCGGCGTCAGTCATCGTGAGACAAGGCAGATTCGCACTTTGTTGGAAGATATTAGTGATCGGATAGCAACGCCACATGGCGGCTCACGCAAGTGGATCAAACGCATTCCGCGAGGGATTGAATATCCAGTTTTTATGTCATGCACTCGACGTTACCTACCTATCGAGTTCGACGTTGCATGTATGACGATGATCTATTCCAAGTCCTTAGATATTCAATGAGGGTTTAAGTCTCCGCCGAGTGGAAACAGTGCCCCACGAATAAGTCGAGATAGTCCAGAATGATCCAGACTTTTGGTAGACATTTCTCAAGCAGCCTGACCTCGTGGTAGTCATGGCAAGCCATACTGGCACACGGCAAGACATGAAGTGATTAGTGTGTGGTGCATGTAAGATACGTTTCTTTTGTTGGTCTTGATAATTTCAACCATTACTGCTTCCCAACGCCGTATCACTGTACGTAAATTCCCTCATAATCATGTTTCTGTGGACCGAAAATGGTCGTATCTGAGTACAGCATTAAGAAGAACCTGCGCTCCATTACCGCAGTCCGCCGGCGAGCAATACTCAGTTGGGTTATGAGTTATGCCCTCTCTGCATGGAACAAATATCATCGCCGTGGGCACCCTCGTGGAGGTGTGCACACTGTCGTGTCCAGCGCCACTATACATCCTCCTCGTCAGTGATACCGCCTGTTCTCCAAACAAGGACTCGCTCCCCTTCTCGATGCATTCGATACAGTCCTTGTCAAAGTTGGCAACCTTTGCATCTGAGTCGACCTTCCAAGAGACGGTGCAACCACGACCACGAGTGCATCCCGCAGTGACTGTTCCAACGCTCTCGCCCTTGGCAATGCTCTCAAAATCCCTTCGAAGAATCTCTTCCATTTCGTTAATATTCTCATCCTCACTGGATCGCAGGTCCAGTGAGAAGGTAACGACCCCGGGAACGGTATTAGTGCTTCCGGGCTCCAGGGAGAGGAGGCCAGTGGATGCCAACGACTTGAACTCGGTAGCGACTTGATGTGACCGCAGGATCATTTGCGCACTGGCCAATAGAGCATCGGATCGGTTCTCAAAGTTAGTGGCTCCGGTATGGCTGTCTCGGCCCCCAACGGTGATGGTGAACCATTTGCTGGCCTGGACTCCCTGGACAGCACCGATGCGTTGGTTGGATGCCTCCAGAATGGGCCCTTGCTCTGAACAATTCTGTCAGCATGTGGTCACAATTCGGCAAGACACCAGATTTCATACCGATATGAAGCTCAAAATGAGCCGCCATAGGCGTTGCGGTGTAGTGCGCAGATATCGCGCCCAGGTAGCCTATCCTCTCCAGCTCAGACCTGACTGTAGCGTTGGCATCTTCGATGTCAGCGATCCGATGTGTGCTGTTGACATCTGTAACACCAGCCCACACGGCAGAAGCCATCATGCACTGTGGAAATCTTGCACCCTCCTCACTGCTTGCTGTAAGCAGTCATATCAATATCATGCGACTACAAGCAGCACTTACTTGGTCCAGTCAACAACACCAACAGGGTACTCGGTTTCGGTTCCAGACTCATGTAGAGCTCTCAGGGCTGCAACTCCTGCAAGAACACCAAGGATACCGTCGTATCTGCCGCCAGCAGGTTGCGTGTCCAGGTGGGAGCCCATGAACGTAGGGCGACCTTCTCTCCTACCGGGCCGGATAGCAAAGATATTGCCCATAGCATCCATTTGCACTTTGCAACCATACTTCATGACCTCTTGGATAAACCAATCTCGTACCATTTTATCTGCATCACTCAACGCTAGCCGGGCCATCCCAGTCTCGGTCGAGGCGCTTTGTCATCGTCAGCTTTTGTGATCTACTTAACAGCGACAGGACTTGGCGCAGGCATACTCTCCCCATCTCTGTCCTTCGCCCCATTGAGCCGTGAAATGTATGTCATCCATCAGCCGTTGTCTATCTATAGCCACCGTGAGTACATGGCTAGTCTGCGACAGGACCTGGGCAGACGTCGTCATGGTTGCCGTCATAGACATTATTTGCGGTGCGAACTGGGAGGTCGCTTTTTCTTAGATTCCGCTTACACGACTTAAAAAAAAGATATCAGTCGAATGGCTGTGTGAACGAAACATGGACAGAATGATGCTAATTTGTGTCTTGATATTAATTTTCTCAAACAGATACACGGCTCGATGAACTAGCGAGTATGGGCATTAATAGTCGACTTCTTGACGTCCTCTATCGCGGTACCATACCCACAAATTATTCGGCGAATTCGTCTCCACCACGATCTATAGATATGTTCGGCGGATTTCAGTTCCATAGTTTCGGCGAACACGGAACCTTACTGGTCAATTGCTTCTACGCCGGCTTCAAACAATCACTTATCAATGGCTAGGATAATAACCTAGATTAGTTATCAAGACCTATTGTTGAGATGACCCGGCGAGACTTAGGAACAGATACGGGTAATCTCGATGAGCTCGTTCGATGTTATCGTCAGACCTTCAAGTATGCTGTCTTCAAAAAGGACGGCGGAGTCTCAAGTCGAATATCATCATCAAATCCACTCACTCTCACCTCCCATCCCAGACAAAATGGCCATGGAGTACACCAAAGAAGCCAAAATTGGCTCGGACTTTATTCCGAGCCACAACACCGATTCACCGCATTCGACCGTGGGTGAAAGCTCGATCTTGATCGATCCGGTCCTTGAGAAACGCGCCATCTCGAAATTCGACAAGTACATGATGCCTCAAATGGCTTTGCTCATGCTCATTGCATATCTTGACCGAACTAATATTGGTGTGTGAAAATCTGGTCGTGTTCAGCCTTATGGCCGCTGGCATTAATACGGGCTCTTGACAGGAAACGCTCGAGTCTTTGGTTTTGAGCAAGATCTGGGGCTCGTTGGAACGCAGTTCAACGATCTGTTAACCTTGTTTTATCCAACCTACGTCCTATTCGAGATCCCTTGGGTCATGGCGGTCAAGAAATGGGGAGCTAACGCAGTCCTTGCTGTCGCTATGATCGGTTGGAGTATCGTCACTATCGGAACTGGCTTTATCCACAACTATTACCAAGGTATCGCGGTCCGCCTTCTCCTGGGGGTTTTCGAGTCCGGCCTCTTCCCTTGCCTTGCTTTCCTGATTTCGACCGTCTAGTCCCGAGCCCAACAAGCCAAGCGCATTGCCGTTCTCTACGGTGCCATTGCCCTCTCAGGTGCTGTTGGTGGCCTCATTGCCTACGGCATCCAGACAATGGGTTCTAAGGCCGGACTTGAGGCCTGGCGCTGGCTGTTCATCATCGAGGGTTGCATCTCCATCGTGATCGGCCTGGCCCTCTGGGTCACGCTGCCGTTTGACTCTGAGAAGGCATGGTTTCTCAACGAAGAGGAACGCTACGTCATGAGCCTGCGTGTCAAGCGTGATGTGGCCTACAAGGGTGAGAGAAAATTTGAGTGGAAGTATGCCAAAATGGCTTTCACGGAGCCCATTATTTACATTGCCGCCATTGGCATGTTCTGCTCGTCCGTTCCGCTATTCGGCTTCACCACCTTTCTGCCTACTCTCATCGTTGGTTTTGGGTAGGTCTCTGTTCTATTTCTTCTTCTAGTGAAAGCATGTAGCTCACACGTACTAGTTTTACTTCCCTCCAGGCGAACTATCTCTCCATCCCGGTTTACGTCTTTGCCTGCCTGTTCCTGTGCCTCGTCGCTTGGCTCTCGGACAAACTCAATAAGCGCGGCGTTATCGCCATGATTGTCCCAATTCCTGTCCTTATTGGTTACGCGATCACCGTCGGCACTAGTAATCACGGCGCAGACCTTTTCGCCATGTTCCTCGTCGCTGCTGGTGAGTCTAATTCGCACTCTACTCAAGGTATCTAGCCCCTAAAACGTCACAGGTGTCTACCCTTACAACACCCTTGTCGTCACCTGGGTGACAAATAACCTGCCAAATGACCACGTGCGCTCAATCGGTATCCCTCTGCTCATCTCCATCGCCAACGCCTCGGGAATTCCCTCGTCCCAGATTTATCCTAAGAAGGACTCGCCGCGCTACATCATGGGCAACGCTGCCTCACTCGCCATGGAGGCCATTGCTCTGATTGCGGTCGGACTCATCTACTTCTTGGTCCGTAGGAGAAACGCAAAGCAGATTGGAAATGCATCTGGAGATCTCCGGCTCGCGATGTAAATATGATCAGTTCTCATCCACTGGTATTGCGGTTTCACAGATGAACAGCTGTAGATCCCCGACACAAACTGTAACATACGTAGCAAGTTAAAAGTATCTTGTCATGAGCGTTCAGGACTCGCTCGTGTTCTTGTTGGCCCATAGTAACCGCTGAAATTTGGAGTGGAGGTCGTCCACGGAGGCGTAGTGTAGGAACCTTTCGCCAACCATGCCGAGGTAAGATGGCAATATATAGCAGCTTCTGTACGGTGGTTGCCAGCCTCGATAGGCGCGGATTGTGAATACTGATCAGAGCTCGTTAGATTACTTCCGTCCATAGGAATGATATCCAGACATTTAGAGAACCAATGTATAGCGAGCATATAGCACTACAATCTCGATCTCATATCGAGTCTTTAATTACTTGTGCCACATGTCTGTTGATCTTGAAGATCTTATTCATGTTTGACCAGTACATCGCATCCAACCGAAGAATTCCAAGGCTCATGTCCTCGAAACTGCGAGATTGGTGTCTTAGTATTTGCCGCAACTTGTCAATCAGAGTCTTACACCTTTTTGCGTGGTCTACGCTTGGTGACTGGACAAAGAGTAAGGCAAGGAAGCTTGAGGTTATCGCCCAACCAATGCGAGACCCTAGGTTGATTCACAAATCAGATATTTGCCCATAACTGTGCACTTCCTTGCACCAATATGAGCGTCACTTACAAGCATACCAGAAGCCAGCAAAGTCCCAAGACATCAGCTCGACGGTGAAGGTGCTGACAATCCTTGCACAGTTTTCGGCGGCACATATGATCAGCTCTATCTCGTTTCGCAGGCTCTCGCCAAGTTCTTGTCCAGTCATGCTCTCCTGCGAGTCATTACGAGGGTGTTCTGTCTGTGGAACGGCCTTCGAGACATCCATGAGATCGATGTTTCCCAGTGGCCGAAGCAGAGCCCTGTAAAGTAGAATTTCGAGAGTAAGGTACGCGAATTTGAGGCAGGCTGCTGAGCTTGGTGCAGCGGGAGCCACCCTCTCTGCATCTATCTTTGGTGTCTTCATATAGATAGGAAGACTGGCATACCACAGCTTGAGCTCTTCACGAAGAGGTTTGATAGCCCTGATAGAGCCAGCAAGGTCATCGGCAAGCTTCTCAGTGGCCCGTATCGTGCTGTACGGTTTTTCTCAGCGCCTGAGAGCAGCAAACAATGGGCATCAGAGGACTTACTAAAGGTAGCGGTAAATATTATCGGCAATAATAGTCAAGGCTGCGAGTCGCTGGGATACCATACCTCCATCGGACTCATTTATTGCATGTCGCAGCTTATCCGCGAAATCGTTTGCTTCCGTGTCATCGTCGAACTGAAGAAGCAGTTCCTCAACCTCAAAATCCAGAAAGGTAAGCTCCGAAACGTTCCACTGATCTGGTGCGATTACAGCAGGCCTTCCCAACAAAAGACTTCTCCACGTCGCCTCCGAGAATGTCATCCACCACAAGCGACGTCGTAACCGTTTTTCCCACGAAGGTATTGATCATGATCTGCAATCCAAGTGCAGCGCTAGGCTCGTGGCTAAGCCAACAACGGAGGTGATCATAGACCATGCGAAAGACGTGTCCGCGGAAACATGCTGCGCTCCTACTCGGGGCTTGTGAAGGTACAGTAATGCGCCTGAGATGGTAGCTAGTTGCGGGGTATGTAGCGTAGTCTGGACCCCGTCATAGACCATTTGCCATAGTCTTTCGGCGGGAGGTTTCTTGTAGACACTGGAGACGCATAGTATGTCATCGTATGCAGTGAAAGGGAGCGCAGAAGCGTATATAGCGGCCAGCAGATAAGTTGGTAATGAAGCATGTCCCGAAAATGCGTACTTAAACTGTCCACCGAAGGCTGTTACTATTTGTGACCGAGAAATAACGGGAAATGCTGGGTAGACGTATTGTACGAACCTAGATGGTTAGGGTCATGATATTCGGTCGGAAACGGGACATGCTCACAACAAAACAAGTCTTCGTCCAACATCTTCACTCACCAAGTCGTTCAGTTCTTTCCTCACTGACTCATAATTATATGTATGATTGGTAGGCCCGAGGCGTCTAAGCTCATCACTTAGCTCATTTGAAGTCAGAAGAAATTGTACCGGTACATTGTTTTCATCATGAGCTGAGCTGTGGTGTCCTGTAGTTGAAGAATGGTCGCGACGGAAGGGGGTCCCGCGCTGCGTCCTTCGATATATCACTCGAAGAAACGGGAATTCATCTGCGTCGTTATACAAGTACTGTCGGAGAAGATAAGGGTCCGACTCTCCCGAGAGACCAAAGTAAGCGCTTTGGAACTCGGGCCTTTGGTCGATGGTAAAAGAAGCATCGGTCGGATTAGACGACTGTGCACAACCGACATGTGGGTTTGTCGAGAATTCAACCCCGATGTCATGTGCGGAATTTGCGCCATTCGACAGGGCTTCTATTGTTGGCAGTGTGGCTGCTTGCTCGCGTATCTCAAAATCATGGTGATGACGGACTTGAGAATTCGCAAACGAGATTCCATCAAACTGCATCAGACCAACGCCAATAGTATTGTTCGCAGATTGTGTTTCGTCTGGCGGAGGGCTATTCCAGATCCTTTCATTGGTGAAGTCTCCGTACATCGCTTCCACGTCCGCGGAGTATTGGCTGAAACGCTCATTCGCATGGTCCTCGAGGGAGCCCGGAACAACGTCACTGACTAAAGCTTCTGGCAGGATTGTTGAAGTGTCGAAGCCGACTCCAGCTTGTGCCAGGTCATCCAATCCGTCGCCATCATTAGGACTACCCCCAGACAGAGAGGCGGTTGCCGACTCATGAGTGAGATCATCGAGAAAGCTGCAGCGTTCGCCTCGTTTGCGGCACGTTATGCACGATATATCTTTTCCCTCACGGCGGCATGAAGTCTTACGTGCACGACAAAGCATGCACGGCCGATTCCTCTTTGAACGATATGGCCGGCGTTGCAAGGCGTTGGGTGTAGTCTGCCTGTGTGCGAAGTTTGGGTTCATGATGCATGCTTGAACGGGAGGCTGGACATACGTCTTTATGCATTAGACGCTCTACCTCAGTTAATGCTCGATTAAAGACTCTGGGCCATTTCACTTGCCGCTTCCTTAATTGATCAGATCGACGGACCCAATTTGTAAGTTATCGGACCAGGGGGGAAGCAAAACATGGACCGATCACCCTCCCCACGGGACCTGACATGTATCAGCACTAGTAAGACTCCACAGATAGGCGAATTCTTTTTCCGTAGCAGGCGTCTACCTATCGGCCTATCAGTCATTCCAGTATGTAATCATGCCTACGTACTACGCGCGCCCCTAACAAATGTAGATAAATTGATGACACACAGATTTCTTGGGAACACCTTGATTTCAACTCAACAAACCCGGATCCTAGGAATCTAGATGACATACATCCACCCAAGGCTAACACTCGTCGTATTCAGCCCATGAATCGTCCTGAGAGGTGTGGAATCCAAGAAAAGTCGGGACGCCTATTCTAACGCTGACTACGTGTTGCAATCAGTCGATGTGATTGAGATTCCGTGCAGCACTTTGCCTCTAATAACCTTGAGCAACTAGGTGTCTCGGTAGGTACCTGTAGTAGCGCCCAGTCCAAGCAGCATTTGGGTCGCCCAACTCATCGTATAGTTCGGTCCCAATAGCGTGATGCCAGATCTTGAGATGTTCGCGACCTTCCTCAGTAGGATCATGTGGGAAGCCGCGAACAAGACTAACAAATGAGGAGTGGAGACCAACGTCGTCAACTAGGATAAAGAACTCATGCCTCGCGCCTCGTGGCACGTAGTGCCTTTCACTGCCGCCACTCTCGTCCGTCTCAAAAGGCCCCATGTCCTCTTTTTGGACCCAAGCTCTGAAGCGACGCTGCAGGTCACTGACAGAAACTCCTTCGAGGGTGGGGTCATCCACAAAGATAATGTCCATGTTATCGATGATTTCCGGAGCATCGGACTCGAGAACAGACTTGCTCAGGTTGTTCACCACGTGTTCCTTGAACTTCGCCCAAGGTTGGTCCGAAGAGTTATTGTAAGTTGTGCGATAAACAACAAACCCCCATTTCTTGTAGCAGCAGTCTTTGATGTTTGATTCGGGAGATGGCTCGGGGTACTCTTCGTCGTTTTCTGATGGCTCCGAATCTGAAAGCGAGTTCATCTGCGTTGGCGTAGACATAGAGGACAGTTGTTTGGAGAGTACACTTGTAAAGATGACGAGTCGACACTGCCGCGGTCTTGGTGAGAGTCGAGGCGGAATGAGATGATGCGACAATGGGATGTGGCTATAGCGAAGGTTGAAAGAGTTGCGAGAGGCGAGGCTTGGGCAGTACTGAATGCCGCAGTAGAAGGACGTTGGCAAAAGCATTCTTCATCCTTCATCAAAAGGCAGGGGAGAAGTTCACTAAGAAGACTTGCAATGTAATTGGAAAGAGGAGGTAAACTCCCGTGGACCTAGGGGTAGAGGTTTCATCACGCAAGCACGGGGGAACATCTGTACACAGTATGTGATCTGATCCAACCATCCCGCTCCGGGCGGGCGCTAAACTTCTCGGCAAACCGTGACAGTGACATTGGACATCTTGGCTTAATTTCCTTCCGGCCGGCTCCAGACCGGAGGGTTTTTTCGCCTGTGGGGCAGTCCGCGGCCCAGGCCGGACAGCATATTCAGATGCATACTCCTTGCGACTACACGCGAAGCATTTTTCAATGGACACTTTTAGTGAGACACAGCACACTGTCAATTCGGAATCCTATCTATCAGAAATGCGAACAGGCAATGATCACTTCCTGAGCGTTTACGAAATGCCGCTCTGCTGTCACCAAGCCATTTCAATTTCGTCACTTGAGATCCCGCTTGGGTGAATGGAAAATGATACTCCAAATATCCAGATACATGAAAAAGTATCCAGAAGGTTTCATAGACTGCACTACAATACTCTGCTGGATGCTCCCAGTTGGAAATGTCGTCCTCGATCTCCTTCAACGCCCTGTCTACCTCCACACAGTGAACGGCATTGGGCCGTCTGCCGTACTCACGTCTCACCCGGGCGATTCAATCTCTCGCCCATCCACGGGCGAAACTGCCTACGAGTCTGAAGTAGCCAGGGTAAAAGCCATTCCACTGTAACGTCAGGCCACGAGCGTCGGCTACGTTGTGATCCAGGATCTGCAGCTCGATGTGAGGGGCATTTCCCCACGTTTTCGCAACTCCAAACGATGTGGTCATTGCCACTTCAACACTTCGCTGATTGGTCCAGAGTACCACCATGTGGAGACGATCTGTCTTCAGGGTTGAGTTCAGCTGGGGACATCGACCAGACTCCACTGGGCTTTAACTCTTCTCCGCAACATCACCCAACCACCGCGCATTGGTAGCAAGTACCAATATGGAAATTGTTTGGCAGGCCTCAGCGAAGCAGAACGCTAAACGCTCTTCCCAAGATAAGTCTATATAATTCCTCTCATGTCCAGGTCCTCTCGGTAAAACCACTCCCAACTAACTCAAGCCATCTACCCTGTCAAGGCTGTCGTGCACGAAAGAAACGGTGTTATCATGTCGGTGTCACAGAAAGACCATATGCTGCCAGACGCGGCGACAGGCTAATCACAGAGCCAGTTGGCCAGGCATCGAATACTCGGGACTCAAGTCCTAGTCCGAGCCGTGTCAGTCTGTACAACCCAGAATCTGTCTTGGCAGACCTTTCCATGGATTCGACAGGAACAAGACTTGCAGACAAGGCTGGCACTTGTCGAGTACATCCACGTCGCCAGGAGAAAGACTCAAATACATCTGAAGAAGGCATTTCCCTAGAAAAACGATCTCTCCGCCAGCGCAATTGGTACGATCGTCACCGTCTCAGGTCCAGGCGGCTTGAAATACCAGATAATCAACGACGATATCTTGAGGAAGAGGGTGCTTTTCTCGAATTGCCAAAGTCGACGACTGACATTCTCCTGCCAATTTACAACATGCTCTTGGATGATCTCATTCCAGTGGTAGATGGAACTGCAATATTTCGGGACTACAGTAACGGGCAAGCATCAATTTTCCTCCTCAGAGCAGTCTCCCTCATTGCTTGTAAATTTAGACAGGCAGCTCCATTTCTGAGAATCCGTGAGGATGGCGCCATCATGGATCCGAGACATTTTGCTTCTAAATTGCTCAAAGGTCTTGATGCCTCTATCAAGGCGGATCTCGAGCCCGACCGAATCACCAAAGTTCAAATTTTAGCCTTGATGCATCTACACAACGACGGCCTGAGTGGATTAGATCGCTCATCGGGGTATCTTTCTCAGGCTATATCCGAAGCGTGGGCAATATCACTGCACGTAAAAGTCCCCGTTAATTTCGACCAAGAGCGTTGCGACTTTTTGTGGTGGACACTACGAAATTTGGATCGGCTGAACAAACCCGTCATGGGCGCGGCTCCGTTCATGATCGATGATACAGACATCGGGGTTGAACGCATCGCTCCCCGAAAGGATCACTACCGGTCTCAGTTGATGGCCATATCTCTCTCCCTTGGAGATTTGATGAAAACGGCAACTAGGATCTACAAAGCTAGCTCTACCGCAACGGATGATGACTGTGATGCATTTCCGACATTCTCTGAGCTTACCACTGATGTTTTCCTGGATGAGTTCCAGAGATCACACAGATGTAAGTCATTCTGGAGCTAGAGGTAATACGTTGTGGCTTTCTCTAATTGTAGTCCCTTAGTGTACTTGCAGATTTGGTACCATGTCGCTGCGATGCTCTCATGTCGCTATAGCGGGCCGAAAAGCGTCCAATATCAGCGACGCCTATCCTCTGCTGATAGTGTACTACGCATCGTCTGTCTTGAAGGGCCGGCGAATCTCCCGCCTCTTCCTCTTGTACCTTATGCGATGTCAATGTCTACCACGGTGATCTATCGGGCTCTCAGGGATGGCGAGCGAGCACCAGAAGAAGCGTACAAAGATCTTGGAGCTTGTTACGACAACCTCATCATCCTCAGTCAACTTTGGACTAGTGCGAAGGGAGTAGCCAGGTTAGTGAGGCGTTTGCAACAATTCACCAGGCCCAGCGCTCCTCCCTTTCGAATCACGGAGGGCGCTCCATGCACTTGCGACAACACACATCAACACGCAAACGTACTTAAAAACCCTATCAGCAACTTGAACACTCTACAGCGACCAACTCAGGGTGTGACTGGAAGCTCGCTGTTACCTGTTTCGAGCTTGGTGCAGCCTAGTGAGGTTTTTCCGCCGGAAGATCCCACAGACAATGAAGGTCAATCGGGTCATCAGGCTGATACATGGTTCGTTGATGGGCTATCCTACTCTCATTTTGACAGGGCCTTTTACGATTTCTTTGATTACGGTATGCCCAGTCTTTTTCGAGATTTGGCAACTTGGGATTTTCTTCAAACAGACGTCAATGATGATCTAGAAGTTTCACCATTATAGCATTAGGTACTGATAGAACTCGCTATATATTAAGAAAAACCTCCTTCTTGTCGTTTTCTGATTCGCAGCCTGTTGCCGTTCAACATAACCCTTGAACCTCGACAACCATATTGCGAAACTCTGGAGCTAGCTGTTGCTGAACTAAGGACAACTCCTTTTAAAATAGCGTCCCGAGTAGTAAAGCATCGTATACCAATGTCTGAAAATTCCGGGTCTCAATCACAGCGCCAAAACTGATTTCATTGTCAGCCCGGAAAAGTGGCCAATCGTGAAGAGCTTCACTCACCCATGACATTTAATGCCCTCCCTCAATCTATCAGCAAGCTCCCATAATCTTCGCAGCTCGATACCACCAAAGTGAGGTTGGCTCCGTATGTACTCCCACGCTTGAGCTGGCGTCATCTCCCCGTCAAAACAAACGTGTGGAGAGAGAGCCAGGATCCGTTCTAAGATATCTCGGGGTGCGCCTTGGTACGACGGAGCATCAGTACGACCTTTCTCGTTCGGTCGGGATGAGTCTGCATGTAGAGAGAGAGTTCTTGCAGAGACTGTCAAAACGTGACCCGTTGAGTCATCAGGCTTCTTGGGGTCACCATGAATATGTTCAAGGCAAGGACTTTCGAGCCTTCAAATGGAGTCAGCGAGTGTGTAACTTATAAAGACGAGATTGTTGAAGGATATCGACGTATCATAGCATGGCTGTGGTCTCACCTTAGAACAAACTCCATACCTGCTGCGATCAAGTCAACCTCGCACATTCGGTTGTCGTCACAATCATTCATGGCGACTGCTCTGTTGGTCTTCAACCACGGCATTCTTATGTCTTCCTTTTCGGTGTATCGATGACTCAACAGGGCGTCTGTTGCCGTTTGGAGGTCATCGGCAACAATGTCAGCCGTCGTATGAAGTTCCGCCTGGACTGGATCTTTAGCAACTATTCGACAGTCTTCCGATTCTATCTCTGGAGCTTTCAAATACTCGATAGCTCCCATTTCAGTCAAGGATTCGTCCGTTCTAAAATGAAACGCGTTGTGCATTTCACCATCGTTTTCGCTGTTTGTGTTATCCCCACAAGCAGCGGGAACGCCGATTCCATGGCGCGAAAGTATTAATGACAACGATTCGAGAGCAGCATACATCTGCTCACATCGGATCATAAGTTCAGCTTCTCTGTTTCGGGCTCTTTCGACCTCTTGTTCGAGCGACTTGGTGTACTTATCCTTGCGATCACGGTATGACCTAAATACAGGATTAGAAAATCGCCTCACTATTGACAGATATACATTTTCATACCGTTGAGCACTTCGAAGTTGTGCTCGCCGCTTTTCCACTGGGTCTTGCTTGGCCTCTATGATGAATTTAGATCCCGGACAACGATGTAGTTGTACACAAAAAGCTGTACGGCATGCGTGCGCATATTTGTACTGCCTCAATTCCATGGACGAACCTCCAGGGTTGAAGATACGGAATATCTTGCTACTCATACTGATGCAAAGAGACAACGCAAAGACTGGAATGATTTCGAAAGATTGACGGACAGGTAAGGCTGAGTTGTACAATTCAAATTGAAGGTCTTGTTCTTCATGGTTGAGGTTTGTTGTTGTGCAGCAATGATTGCAAGTTCTCGACAGTCCCGAGATGTAATTTTATTGACTGATTGTCAGCTGCGCCTGCACACCATAACTCCTCACCTCAGATGGCAGTTTCACATCCTGGGATGGTCTCGGATGTTCGGCTGACGATCAAATGGTCCACTTGTTTCATTTGACGCGATGAGGATATCGAAATTGCCTCTTCTGGTTAGGTCTTACCGCATGTCAGACGAAAGGAGCGCTTCGTGGAGGCTGTAGCGTTTCGATAACCTTATTTAGTGGGCGCAGGCGATGTGGAATCAACCGCACGATCTTGTGGCTTCCCTTCGATGGTGTGGAATCCACAGACAATGACTGAAGCAAGTATGCTGGGAGAGCGAAGTAAATGGGAAGACATGGCTGCCGGGCCCACCGGGTATTTGCTCCTTGAAGCGCTTCCGCGATGCGAGTTTCGAGACGTCAATCGATGTTTGGATGCACATAGTAATAACAAATACTTTCATCGACTCTTCCTAAATAGGAAATGGGGATTACCGCATCATGTCGCCCTTGCGAAATGCGCAATAACTTCACTCAAAGATTGGAAGCGGGAGCGACTCCACAGTAGTCACGAGTGTGACTTGTTTGCCCTTAGAAACCTCGCATTATATATCCTTTGTGTTCTCTTAGTCTTCCGTCGACACCGTCAAGAATCTACTCAACTCGTCCATTTCTACAAAAAAAAAATACTTCATTCCTATGTTTTGGTGATTATCAACACTCACGACCTACATCTTTTGCCTCAATCATTAGTCACTATTTACTCCATCCCCAACATGCGTCAACACCTGGTTCTCTCCTTTTGCTTTGTTTCATCTATATCAACTGTTTCGGGAAGAACAGTGGGGTGCAAGGCTGAATTTAAGCCCGGAAAAGCTATCTACACCATCACCAACGATCAGACCAACTCTGTGATTGCCATTCCAATATCCAGCAATGGCATGCTTTCGAGGGGAGCAACATTCCCAACTGGTGGATTCGGCTCGAATTTTCTTGATGGCACATCAAACGAGCCCGCTGCTCCTGATGCCTTAGCATCTCAGTCGGCACTTACTATTGCAGGCAACGTAATAAAGCCGATTCGCATTCTTGAATGTTAACTCTGATGCTGATGTCAGTCTTACAGAGCTTATTTGCCGTCAATGCTGGCTCGAATACGGTTACAATGTTCTCAATCGACCCGTCACATCCCACGAAGCTCACCATGATGGGCCGCCCTGTTGCGGTTCCTGGTCAATTCCCCAACACGATAGCGGCGTCAATGAAACACAATGTTGTCTGCGTTGGTTGTTCCGGGGAACAGTCTGGAGTCTCTTGCGCTAGATTTTCCAAAGATGGACTGGAATCCATGGATAGTCTTCGACCCGTTGGACTAAGCCAGACTACTCCCCCTGTTGGACCGACCAACACCATATCTCAAGTCTTCTTTTCCAACGACCAGAGCACCCTATTCACTACAGTCAAAGGTGATCTATCTCAGGACAAAAAAGGGTTTCTTGGTGCGTACAAGATCAACAGTCAGGGTTTCGTTGAGCATGATGGAGTGCAATCGTCGCCGAACGGTACTGCAGTTTTGTTTGGTTCGTCGACGATTCCCAAGAGCAACAACCTCTTTGTCACTGATGCTTCTTTTGGTGGGGCGGTTTTGTCCATTGACTCGAAGACAAGTGTTGCTTCTGTAAAGGGTATGGGCGTCGTCGGCGGACAGAAAGCAACATGTTGGGTCGCAGTTTCTTTGGCCACTGGCAGCGCATTCGTCACTGATGTTGGGACTAACAGGTTGGTCGAAATGTCACTGAGCGATGCAAGCATCCAAAGTATCCTCGATCTCAGCGCCAATGGTGATTCAGGTTTAACTGACCTGAGGGCTGCTGGACACTTTGTGTATGCGCTGAGTCCAGGCAACGGAACAACACAATCTGTAATCACTGTGGTTGACACCGTCGCGAAGAAACAAGTCCAGCATTTTGCACTTGGACAACTCGGCGTTGGTAAAAATGCCCAAGGAATGGCGATTATGCAGTAAATATTATGTTATCTTGTATTCAGTAGTCATCCTGTCACGTTTTTATTGCATTTTGAACGGTATCGTCATCTAGGAAGGTTTTAGTACTATTCATATGACTCAAATCTGTTGCGCTGTCTCTGTTACGATGTCTGCCTAAACTGGTCATTCAATGCTAGCCTTGTTGAAGTGAATCAAAATGGACGATCACTTTGACGCCAGATGACAACGAACAATATTATAATTCTGTTAGGGCTAACCGAGTTGATAGATATCCATAAGAAGACCAATCCCCTCCAATCTCTATCAAGTATTTATGGCTTTTCACATTTCCACCGACCGTTCATGATGAGCCGCTGTTGTCTACACATGAGAAGGCACCCCCGATCAGGCCGTTGGCATAGGCATCAATGATGTTTTGAACGACACCATAAGTACCACCGATAGTCAGGAAAACGGCCAGCAGAATCATAAGCCAGTTCAGCCAGTAGACCATGGCTTGCCACCAGTTACCCTGTCTGTAATGCTGGTGGTCGAAGATCCATAAGTAACCAGGAAGACCGAGTGCCAGAGGTGCGAAAGTCAAACTTCCTGCTAGCGCCAACAGATAGTTGAAGATGGGAATTCCAGATGCCAAAAGGAACGAGACCACGGACATTCCGAGGGTACACGCAAGCCAAACAGACCAGTGAATGACGGAGTTCTTCTGCAAATGAACAGAATTTCGCAGGATTCTGACAAACAAGTACTTGGCGGCGACATGGATGTACAGACAGGCGCTGACCATCAAGCCGATCAAGCCGATGCCATACGAGACTTTCTTGACGGTCTCTCCGGCACTGCCCAATGAAGGAGAGGCAACCCACTGGCCGCACCAACGATAGACTACAAGTGAGAAGGTCAAGTAGGACGCTGTGACAATACCCATGCAAAGGTACACAGCTTTATTATAGTCCTTCGGCTTCTTCATTTCCGAGATGACGGGGAGGAAAGCCGATGTTCCTGCACCAGAGCAGAAGATAGTTGCAACACTCGTGATTGCGGTCACGAAATTAGGATTTCCGATGACATGGTAACCGAGGTCGAAATCGCCGGTCTTTGGGGCAGCGGCAGGCCTGTCGACTTGCGTAACGGCAACACTGTGACAAATGTTAGTGGAATTTGCGAAGGCTTTGGAGCGCAGACGGCAGGACTAATACACTTATATAGAGAGATATAGTCTGGGTTAAGAGGAAGTGAACTTACACCACAATGAAAACAGCGATATACACTGACAAAAAGCCAGCCCATGTCAACCATGCAATCTTTTCGAATTTTCGAGCACTTGCAAGAATAAAGACACAGGCAGTGGCCACCAGCATGAAATAGTTGGTGCAGATGGCGTGGTTCGAGAGCGCATTGAAGGCAACTGATGTGCCAAAAATGCCCGATGCGCCGACGATAGCATAAGTGACGAGGAACAGGACTCCGACAACTTCCTTCAGCCAAACACCACCAACAACGTTGGCCATATCCGCGATGGAATGACATCCAGCATGGGCGTTGCGGAAATTACCCTGGATAATGGCGCAATACGTATTGAGGAACTGCCAGCCGAGAACATTGATAGCACCGGGCAGCGCACCCAGCACGAACATGGCTGAAGGAATTGTGAGAACACCGGTTGCGAAAATAACTTGAATTTGTTAGCTACACCTCTGCTTGCCAGATGGATAAGGCTTTCTTACCCTTCAAGAAGATTACTGAGGCGTGGATCCATCCCACGGTACGGAAGTCGACCGTCCCTTCGCCGCGCTTGAAGACTTCAAAAGCATCTTCGGCATTCTCGAGCTTTCCCGCGTCAATGCTACCGCTGCTCCGGGCCGGCGCCGGTGTAATGGCATCGCTCTTTTCGGAGTTTGTCTGAGACATTTTGACGGTTATTTCGATTGTTGCTGCTGATTCCGATGCCAGCTAGAGTGGTCGCTTTCTACCGATTCCGTGGAGTACCGTGTGACGAACGAGCCGCGGTCATCACCTCAATATAAGATCGTCCCTGTAAGTTCAAGTTGGAGCATCTGGTGATATCGATTATGACGAGTGAGATGAACATGAGAGCCTGGCGTGGCTTATCTCCTAGCGGCAAAGATGTTCCGACGCAAGATAGCTGTCGAGAGGAAAGACTGTCCAACCCCGCGACGAGCTTCAGATGCCGCTCCAAGATCGTGGGTCGCCGACCCATGGCGACAACCAAAGTCAAAAGCGCGTTCAGGGGTTCAATGTGCGTTTGTGGAGTGTCAGTGGGTCAAAACAAGGTTGCTGCGATAAGGTTGGGGTATACGGGACGACTTGGGGCCGTTGTCGAACCCATGTGCCGAAGTTGGAGTCTAGAAAGCTCCGGGCTTGGAAGCAGATATACCCCAAAGCCAAAGGCCCACACTCACTGATTTGACTAGAGCATCACAAGTGATAAGCGCGGGGTAAGTGAACGAACTTTGGAGGCATGTATATCAATGAATCCAATCAACGAGGAGTTACTCCAACGGTCTTGCAGCAAGACACAGAGCCAGGTCTGTAGAGATGGTCGCTGCGCAAAGATGAATCGTGGAGTAATAAGAGCAACTCACCTCAAAAGTTCCTCGTTGACTAACGCAGGCTCTTTGAAGTGGAGATAAAGCGCCAAGCAAATATGTTAATATGGAGAAGAATAGGACAGAACAGGCATGGAAGTTCTGATGATTCGAGAATTTGAATATCAATTTTCATTAAACTACCTTAATGAACTATCTATGCCCCTGTAGCTTCTTTCTTGAGCATGGCGCCTGGCTCCGCAGGCATCACGGCTCCCTGCGCCGGCGATGTCTTCGCCTTGAACTCGTCGCAAATCTGCTCCATGGTGACGAACTCTACTCCCTCGTGCTTCTTCATGTGTTCAACGAGTCTCTCGTGCATGAGCAATGCGTGAGGACGACCAGACACGTCCGGGTGGACTGTGAGCGGAAAGATAAACTCATCGTACTCGCGGTAGAAGTAGTCAAAGTGATCTCGCCAAATATCCTCTACATCCCTGGCGTTGACGAATCCATGGCTGTTGGGCGCATCTTTGATGAACATCATTGGCGGCAAATCGTCAAGGTACCAGTTGGCCGGGATCTCCACGAGCCCTGTCTCTTGTCCCCTCACAAGGGGCTTCATCCACTCGCTAGGCTTCTTCTTGTAGTCGATCTTGGTCCATTCATCGCCAGTTCGTAGATAATACGGTTGGCAATCGTGATGGCTCATACTGTGATCGTATTCAATACCATAGTCGAGCAAAAGCTGGGCTCCCTCCTTGCTTGTTTCCCACCATGGTGCGACGCTACCTCTTGGAGGCTTGCCCGCGAATTCTGTGAGCATGCGATATGTCTTATCGAGGATTTCTCTTTGTTGATCGATGGTCATATCTGTCGGGTTCTCATGCGAATAGCCATGTAGCCCGATTTCGTGCCCAGCGTCTCGCACAGCGGCCATGTCCTCGGGGAAGGTCTCGAGGCTGTGTCCTGGAATGAACCATGTAGCCTTGATGTCGTATTTGGCGAGAAATTTCAGCACCCGTTGAACACCTATCGTTCCAGCAAAATAACCTGAAAAGTTCAATCGTAAGCTTCAAGTAGACCGCGAATACCCAACTACCCTAGCTTCCAATACTTACCTCTGCTGATATCGTTGGACGAGTCTTCTCCCCCGTAGGATCCTAGCCAGCCTGCGACCGCATCGACATCGACGCCATAGCTGACGAGAACACGCTTCTTTCCCATTGTGATTTACGGTTGAATTTCTGCCCAGTACTTCGGTAGAGAGGGGTAGCGCTCCTAAAGGTGGAATGATCTGAAATCGGTTGCTGAAGACTCGTGCGGGGTTCGGGGAAAGGCAGAAAACAGGAAAATGTTGCTGCGCTGCGAGTTGATTCCTCTTAAACGGTGAAATCTAGCAGCGGCTCAGTCGGTCATGTCACTGAGGGGTATTCATCATCTTATCGGGATTCATTATGCTATCAATTCTGCAATGCCTTCACATGCCTTGGCTCGCTTATCGCGGGGTAGCTTGTGTGGATTCACCTCATCTGAAGGTCTGGCGCAAAAGCAGGGATCTTGGGCTGGGTAGCTGTTTATTGTGATACTTTTGATTGGGCGGCTACCATCGGGCATTTGATCACTCATCCACATTATTTCACCGATCACTTGCATTCAGTCCGTAGCCGTGGTATTGAAAAGGAGGGGTATTGTCCAAGAGGGGTGGAGGACTCCATCCGGTCGCGGGTTTCTGGACCTACGGTCTTGTTGGAGAGATATAACTTATTCCTGTAGATTGGGGGTGTGGTCGATAGATTTGGAGGCAAACTGGGGGCGCACGAGTTGCTCCAACGACTCGACTTGGCCCCTCTTTGAGTCGGATGATAACGGCCAACAACCATCGACAACTCTTCAGCTTGAATGCTTCAGAAGCTTGGCCATCCGTAAGATAAGCACATCCAGAATAGCATCTGAACGAGTCCTTTATTGTCTGAAGTTCTCCCAACTTTAGATTCGAGCCTCAACGGCCTCATCTGGCGCACAGAGTAAACATCAAGAACAGTATATCTTCTTTGTGTCTCAATCTATGTTCTAGGCTCTTGACAAACCTCAATTTCTCTTTTTGGGAAATCATGGCAAATCCCATAATTCCTCCGCTGATGCGAGCAGCCCAGATAACGGAAGTCGGTTCTCATAATGCATTATGCTCCAGGAGATAGTTCCGGAAATGCTAATCAAGCCCTTAGTACAACAAACCATATGAGCTAGTGGAGAGAGAAACTCCGGCTATTCGCGACAATGAGCTACTTATCAGAGTTCATGCCGCAGGATTCTGCCACTCGGATCTACAAGTTCTACAGGGACAATTTGAGTCACCGTTGGGCATGATCGCATCTCATGAACCTGCCGGCATCGTGGTTCAGGTCGGTAAAGACTGTAATCAGAATTGGAAGGTCGGCGACAGAGTTGGCGCTCTCAACTACAAGAACTCATGCGGCAAATGCAGTGGCTGCGGTCTTTCACTTCGCACTGGCAGAAAGCATAGTCTGGACCCAAGATTCTGCGAAAAGCGAGAAACCGCCGGTTTTCATCATGATGGGGCATTCGCCGAGTATCTTGCCATAGATCCAGAGACTACTGTCAGCTTACCACCGACCCTATCTTTCGAGCAAGCGGCGCCATTGATGTGTGCAGGTGCTACAGTTTGGGGCTCACTCGAAAAGGCAACAAGTGAGCTGGAAGCAGGAGATACTGTGGCTATTGTCGGCATCGGAGGTTTGGGTCATCTGGGTTTACAATTTGCCAGCGCCATGGGTTTCCGCACCATAGCGGTCGACAGCCGACCAGCAGGGAGGCAGCTCGCTACTGAGATGTTCAATGAAAGTCTCAGGCCGGCGCTGGTGGTGGATTCTGGCTCGGAGCATGCAACTTCTCAAATCATGGACTTTACAAACGGGGAGGGAGTAGCCGCAGTTGTGGTTTGCACAGACTCCCTGTCAGCTAATAGTTGGGCATTGACGCTTCTACGAATTGGAGGCGTCATGGGAGTTCTGGGCTTGCCTGCTGAGAATTGGAGGTTTGACTCTAGTGTCATCGTTTTCAGAGAGCTCACGATTCGGGGGAGCTATGTTGCAAGTAGAGAATCTACCGAAAGGATGATGGAGGCTGTGGAGAGAGCCAGCATTAGGTCTCATATCACCTTGATGTCGTTCGACGAGATCCCGGGTATTGTCGCGGCTTATCAGGATGGTGGACTTAAAGGTAGGCTTGTGGTGCGCATAGCAGATGAAGCATACCTTATCAACTAAGTAAGTCTGTAGTCAATATCGAACGGTTATTCAAGGTTTTGTGTTACAATTAGTAGTTTCCTACTTTTCCGAACAGATAGCATACGCCCCACCACAGTGTGGTTTGGTTCAGCGTAAGACTTACACCAACGCGAGGGAACGCAATCTATCTACTGCCTTTGCGGCTGGTCGATTGACTCAATCTATCGTGATAGAGTTTCAAATTTGATTCCTATCTGACCCCAACTCTATCTTTCTTGTAGCCGCTTTGCGGACATTGAGCTGTGCTAGCGCTCGTTACGGTCATCCGCATCCAGTGGTGGTGGAGTTGGGGTCGTTGGACATTATCTCCAAATTCTCTTCACTCAATCGTCATATTACCCCAATGCCCTTGTGCCCCTCCGGGCCCTCCCTCCACAATCTCTCGTACCACAGTAGGTTCGGGTTATTGGGGCTTGGAGGCATAGAGTAGCGGGGACATTCTACGGATATTGCCATCGCGTTCGTTAATGTCGACTTCATTCTGTTTGTCATCGGAAACCCGCCTTCGCCACAGATTGACCCAATGGCCCGCGGAAGAGCCCCCGACAATTTCTCGTGGGTTCAACATGGATGTCACTTTCGAGCCTTTATGAACAGCATGCTGGCTAATCGGCCGTCACTTCAATCAATTGGAACGCATCGGTGACCAGCAATCAAACAGAACACCGTCGACGATTGCCACCTCCCATCATGTCTGTTTTCTTCAAGGACATCTCCACGTAAGGACCAATCCCTACCTTATGCGGTCTGAATGCTGACAGGTACGCCATAGGGACAACCCCGTGCAGAAAGGCGACGTCGAGAAGCTGCTCGAGCCACTCGGTTTGAAAATCAAGGCTGAGGAATCGGCCGATTATCAGAGACTGCTTGCTGCGGTGCACGATTGCGCTACCCGTATCGACAGTCTTCCAGACTACCAGCCGGCCCCCGACACGAAACGATACCCCCGCGAGAATGTACGTATACCCACGGCAGAAGAGCAAGAGTTTGGGCACGCGTGGGCACATCGTTTCTTGATTAGGGGAGACAAGTTAGCTTCTGGCCCGTCTCAGGTATGCCTGAAAGGAAAGACTGTATGCTTGAAGGATTGCATTGCCGTAGCAGGCGTTCCACAGTTCTTCGGCAGCGACGCTTTTCCTCCTTGGACGCCATCGACGGATGCCACAGTAGTGACGCGAGTACTGGATGCCGGAGCCGACATTCTAGGGACTGCTACATGTGAGCACTTTTGTAACTCCACGGCATCCTTCACCAGCGCGCAGGGCACAATCGAAAATCCCTATAAGGAAGGCTACTCCACTGGGGGCAGCACCTCTGGGGGTGCTGCCCTTGTTTGTTCCGGAAAGATCGATATCGCGCTAGGCACAGATCAAGGCGGCAGCATCCGGGTTCCAGCTTCATTTTGCGGCTGCGTCGGTGTGAAACCGACTCACGGCCTGGTGCCTTTCACGGGTATCACAAGTGGCGATGCCATTGATGACCATGCCGGGCCCATTTGCCGCTCGGTCACAGAAGCTGCTGAGTGCCTTGATGCGATCTCCGGATACGACGGCATCGACGATAAATCTTTAGGCGCTGCGGCTCATGGCTCCTACAACTTCTCTGCTGCTCTGTCAGGGAGCTCCGGTCGTTTGGACGGAATTAAGATTGGTCTTCTGAGGGAGGGCTTTGATCAAGAGATTGTCGACGCCAGAGTCAAAGAACACGTCCTTTCCGCCGCCCGGAAACTGGAGTCTCTAGGGGCAATCGTCGAGCATGTATCCGTCCCTCTTCACCTAGAAGGCCCTTCAATATGGACAATCCAACAACGTATTGCGGGCTCATCGGGTATGCTGGGGAGAGCTTCGGGACACAGAGGTCTTGGCCTGACCGAGTTTGAAAAGGCACGGCTGCCCTGGGTTGATTCGAGCTTTCAAAAGCTCTTCCCCTCCACAAAGAACACCTTCATCAACGGCTTGTATCTTTCGGACAAGTTTCCGGGTCTCTACAGCAAAACAGTCAACATCGGTCGGCAGATCAGCGACGCCTACCAGAGCAAGTTTCAAACGTACGATGCGATTATCATGCCAACGACCCCTTTTGTAGCACCACGACATGGGCCTCGAGACTCTGTGTTGGGTTCATTTGAACCCACCATAGGATTGACCACCAACACCGCCGTATTCAACGTTACTGGACATCCAGCAATGTCAATACCCGTAGGATTTGTCGCCGCCAAGGATGACGCGCAGGTCTTACTACCTGTAGGCATGCAAATTGTCGGAGGGCTATGGCAAGAGAAGAAGATCCTCACCATCGCTCATGCATGGGAGACCAATTTTGACTGGAAGAGCGTCACGAGCACGCCCGAAGCTCCTGAATCTCTTCCGGAGACTCTGACAACGGGCTCAAGTGTCAAAGTCAATGGCAGGACGATGCCTGAGGTTAATGGCACAACTTCACCAAGTCTTAAGCGTGTGAAGTTGGCCGTTTGAGAGTACTTCGAGGTCAGGTCAAAAGGGCCGCATTTGAAGCAAGCCATCTGGGTTGGGAGCCTACGTCGCAAGGGGTTTAATGTTTATAGCTTCAAGGTATCCAGCATAAAGTAGAAGTACGTCGTCGGAATTTCTCACACCATCTCGCCCCATACCTTGACCTCAAGGACCTCATTGCCTAGTATGCCACACACACACACTCACTCACACACACACTCACTCACACAAAGCGTGATACACATACACACACTCACTCGCTCTTGGCTCTAGTTGTGTGCTTGGTCCGCCACGTGTCGCCTAGTTCTCCAGCAACTCCGCATTTGATACACAGAGCTTGGCCAAGCACATCTGACAATGAACGCTTGCGGCTCAATTCTTCCCAACAAAGAGGAGACCGACTTGGCATGCCCACCAGAACACCTCAATTTCACTTCCCCGCACCACCAACGGCACTACCCGTTCGGTAGTAACCAAAAGGCACCCTCGCCGCTCGGCCACCGCGGCGAGAGGGCTCATGCTGTGCCTCGCTAATGTTAGAAATACAAGTACTGATCAAACGCAAGACTGACATTGGTCGGCTCGCTTCTATCCCTGTCTCCCCACCAGGACCCCAGCAAACGGGATATGTTTGGTCACACAGATAGCTCTCCGCCCAGCCATCGTTTGAGTGAGCGCTTCCGGAATGATTCACTTCATTCCATCTCCACCGCCGTACAGTCGCCAAATTCTCCCAGCTGACGAGTGGACAAGCACAGCCCAACACCCTTCCCGAAGCTGCTCCTGGAGGCTTACTGCGTCAGGAAACAGAGGGTTAAGGCCTGCCAACTTGAGCACACATCCGAGACAGAAACATGGTCCGCAAAGGAAGCCCCAAAGTTCGGACTGGATGCATCACCTGCAAGTAAGTCTGCTAGGCGTGTCAGGCTGTCAGCTATCCAGGCTGTGCCGCACTTACGGGGTCCATATATCTCCATCTGATCAGCACCTAATTGACGGTCTTTAGAGCCCGCAAAGTCAAGTGCGACGAGGCTAAGCCGATATGCAATCGCTGCACCAGTACAGGCAGACGCTGCGATGGCTACAGACCCGCTCGTCAAGGAACCGTATCCCTACACCAGCCAAATCAAGTCTTCCCGGGAGTCACAAAGGTCAGCGAAGGTCGAGCTTTACAGTACTTTTGTGAGATAGCGGGACCAGTTATGTCAGGAGCCGTGGATCCCTATTTCTGGACACACGTCGTCATGCAGTTCAGTAACTTCGAGCCGGCCGTCAGACACGCCGTCATTTCCATCAGCAGTCTCTATGAAGAGGCTCAGGGCAATTTCGAGACTACTGCCACTGTACGGCACAGCAATCAAAATTTGGCCCTACACCACTACAATGCCGCCATTCACGAGTTGAGAGTCATGGACTCTCAAGAAAAGCAGCCCATAATCTTGCTTGTTTGCGTTCTCTTCATCTGCGTGGAGATCATGCGCGCCAACAGAAAAGCAGCACTGCAGCACAGCAGGCATGGTGTCGAGATATTGAAGAGCATCTCTCCCGACTATATGTTCTCGTGGACCATGGAGCACCTCCTGCCGATATTTCGGCGGCTTAGCGAGTTTGCTCTTTTCTTCGGTGAAGAAGAGTCGGATTTCCCTGACATAAGGGCCCTAGAGGGGCCCATGCCGCAATTCTTCCTCACGTTCTCAGACGCACAGCTGATGCTTGACGTCCTCTTCAATCGAACAGCAGAGTTCATGCGCTCACAGCGCAATTCACAACGAGCTGCTTCAAAATCACCTGGACCCGATGATATCGGGACACCGCCCCCGAGTCTTCTCTCTGAGCATGCTGCCATCAACGGTCTTTTAGACCAGTGGTTCAAGCTTTACAATGACTTCATGGCCATCAAACCCAAGGAAGCACCTACACAAAGCAATCAAATCAGCAGGTCGGACTCAGATCGGCCTAAGATGCTGCAATGCTTTCTCTTGACTCGTTATGAGTGCTGTTGCATATGGCTCAACATGGCATTCGATACAAGTGAAGCCGGCTATGATCGATACATCACCAACTTTCGGAGGATCCTAAAGCGGCTCCTCTGGCTGGAAGCCGAGGTCCCAGATCCTTTACGTTTCAACACTTCAAAACATCCACACTTCATCTTCGAAGCTGGCTTTGGCGCCATGCTTTTCTTTCTCGTCTCAGTTTGTCGTGAACTAGAAACGCGACTGGAATTCTTACGGCTGATGCCAGTGTTGGGTCTCCCGCGGGAGAACCTCTGGGAAGCAGACGTCCTAGTCGCGGCTGCAAGGAAAATCATTGAGCTAGAGCACGACATCAAATTGGACACAAATGGGCGGCCTATGTCTTCACCATCGTTTGTGCAGCCTCCAGGGGAGATGAGGGTTACGGACTTGTGGACGGAATCTCAAATGAGACCTGACAGTTTGCAAATGGACGATCAAGGTGTATCTCATCGAACGATACAGGTTGTGAGGCGAGACTCCAAGGGCCAGACCTACCTACAGTCCGAGGATCTTGTCGTGAATGGTAGGATGACTGGGTAGCGTGTTGATAATGGAACTCAGATCGCAACAAAAGTCAACACTTTGGTATGAAATCTAACATATGCCGGCTTTGCCGGCTAAGCGGCTTCCCCTGTGTCCGGGTTAGAGCCTTGGCTGTTTAAACGGGAAAAGGTCTTGTCAGCACTTCACAGATCCGATTGTGGAAAGTGTTACCACGAAGTAGTATGGGTGTTGACCGTATTCGATGGGATTTGAGTTGCCATTATCAATTCTCAGTTGATTGTGTAGCCTCCGTCGACGACTAGAGCATGGCCTTGGATGAAGCTGGCTTGGCTCGAGCACAGGAACAACACTGCGTTAGCTACCTCCTCCGGTGTACCCATACGCTTCATCGGTGCAATGTCGATTGCGGGCCTCAGTCGTTGAACCAACTCTTCTGACGCTGTTGTCATTGGCGTGGCGATGACACCCGGGCAGATGCAGTTGACTCTGATCTTGTCTTGCGAATAGTCAATGGCATCTGACCTCGTCATATTGATGATTGCGGCTTTGGACGCACAGTACGGTGCTGATGCGAGAGCATTATGTGAGTAATCATGCGGCACAACCTATTACTTAGAGAGGTGGTTAAACGTACCCGCAGCCGGTCGCGCCACAATGCCGAGTTGGCTCGCGATATTGACGATGGCGCCGCGTTGTTCTGGATGCTCTTCATGGGGTTGCTGCCTGAGCATTTGGCTCAAGACTGCCCGAGATGCCAACCAACTACCCTTGTAGTTGACATTGGTAATGAGATCGAAATCGGCTGTTGATGTTTCGTGTGACCGCAGTGACTGGCCTAGTATACCAGCACAGCTTACTGAGTAGTCGATGCGCAAGAACTTCTTGGCAGTATCGCCAACGAAGGAATTGACGAAACCTTCGTTCGAGATGTCGCCTTCTTGACTAAACACCTGTGCCTCTGGATTTATTTGTAAAATGGCATCTCTCGTATCTGCGAGCGACTTTTTATTGAGGTCTGTGATGGCAATTCTTGAACATCCTGATCGCGCGAACCCTTTTGCGACTGCGGCGCCGATGCCTAAATAATCGAGTCAGAGCTTGAAGGATGCGACCTTGAGCTTCATGGCGCCATGTAAGCCGTAACTCACCAGTCCCTCCTGCGCCAGTAATGAAAGCAACCCCGGGAAATTTGAACATGTTGAGAGTTTGGTAGCTGTGTCTCGAGACGAACAGGTCTGATTTAATTCCGAATCCAGAATTGCTCTGATTATAGAGGTAGACTTGAAAGCGGTCTCAATTGTTGAATCGGCATCCGGACCAAATCAATGTCTCTTGGTCCATAAACACGTATTTGGTGGATACCGCGGGGAGAGCAAACAACTTCCGAATAACTCAATATTACGGTTACGACCTCGGAGAAAAGCAGAGAAGGCCGACCTATCTGTCTCAGGCGCGAATGATGATCATTAACACCCTCGACAATAGACTCCAAAGGCTAATTCCGTGAGATAAGGGCGTTGGGTTGCAGGGTCGCAGGGTCGTAGGGAGCCAAGGGGGTGTCTGATTACGAGTCAGTCTCCAAAGATAGCGGGCGATCCAATCCACGGCAGTTGGAGTTATCTCTGTCGAGCAAGACCCACAAGAAGCTGAAGTCTTCTCCAACATAAGCCTGACGGATGCCCCAAGGCCTCTACTCTCCAACTTACCCGGTCTTCCTCAACTCCAACACGCAAGAAGCCCAAAGAGTCTCGCGAGGCGAAGGCGGAAAGGATGTTGTCCCACAACGGCACGAGCTCGCATCCACAAACGCACCCGCAGCCGCAATCGCAGACGCTTCACCAGCAGCAGCCGCAGCAGCAGCTTCCGCGACCGCACTCGACTCCAGTCAAGCGAAGGAGGCGAACCGGTCACGGCCCTGATGCGCGGTCCTGTCCTCACTGTGGACGTACGTTCAAGCGCACCGAGCACTTGGAGCGCCATGTGCGAACGCGTCAGTCGTCCCATCTGTTCTCATGTGTCCCCTCCCTCAGCTTCCTCCAAGTGTTGGGGTGATATTTGTCTGGAGTCAACGATCAACTACCCCTCCTGCTGGCGCTACACTTACTAGCCCATTCCATGACCAGATGCTCGGGATAGTGCCACGTGCTACAATGCTAACCGTCATATTCTTCCAGACACCAAGGAGAAGCCATTCATCTGTCGATGTGGAGCTGCCTTTGCCCGGCGTGACTTGCTGACCCGCCATCAGCGGATCGCTTTCCACGAGGATGGATCTGAATCTCCGGGGGTCCCCTCGGAGCCGGACTCGGGGGAAACCCATGGGCCTGTTGAGGCTGATCTGGCTGCTGCCGTCTCCCTCTCGGGAATGAGCGTGGACCATTGGGCACAGCAACAACCACCTGCACCACCGTCAGAACTGTATCCCATGGCCGTCCCACGCAACGGCGCTCTCGTAGATGCCTCATATCAACAGGCTCTGCTTGGAGATCAATTTTATGAAAATGGTTGGTTCATGATCCGAGTCCGCTTTTCTGACTTTTGGAGGCTGATGCAAAAGTATCAGGCAATCAAGATGCTGTGGGATTTGACGCCCACTTCAGAGAGTTTGCCAACTTCCTCGATGGTGTTGGGCTGCCAGCGGAATGGAGTCCCTACTTCCACGGCCCCGACAGAGATCACGAAGTCACTGACACAACGGTGAGAATGTCCAGAGAAGGGACTGCTACGCCGGGGGCACGTAATAGTAGAACTCGTCCGGGAACGCCTTTCAGTTCATGGCTGCCATCAGCGCCTACTGGCAATCGGATATCTGAAACCTTGCCAGATACAAGTGAGTCTTTATCAGAGGCTCGCGCATTGTCCAAAGTCATCTTAGCTGACATAGTAAGTAAGACCCGCGGTCTGTTGACATTGATTCGCAACCGTACCGTATATCAGACGAGCAGCGATATCGTCTCAACAGCTCCATTGAAACATTTCGGGACATTCTCGATCCAGACTTCAAGTTCCCATCACGCCACGCCTTATCGCGCTATCTGACCTCGTTCTTCGAAGGATTCCACTCGCACATGCCATTCATCCATACGCCAACATGGCGAGTCCCTGAACACTCCATTGAACTCATTCTCGGCCTCGCTGCAGTCGGCGCCCAGTATTGCTTCGAGCATCGCATGTCCGAGAGACTCTTCCAAGCGGGCAAGGCCATTCTCATGGAGAGGTTGATGCACGAGTCCGAAACGTTTGGTGCGAACACCGCTTCATCCCTCAATCTTCACAACCTGACACCACAACGCCGCGCCTCGCAAGGTTTTAGGGAGAGGGACTGGGGTCCTTGGGAACCAATAGAGACAGTTCGAGCCTTGATTGCCCTCATGGGTTACGCCACTTGGGAGCCTAAAGTGTCACTTGTGCAGGAAGCGTTTGCTCTACAGGCACTTCTGGCACAGATCCTTCGACAAGTTGGTCTTTATGAAGAGGATGTCCCTCAACTTCCTGCCGATCAGGCCACCCCGCAAGCCGCCTGGCAAGCATGGGTGCGACAGGAGTCTACGCGCCGAGCCAAGCTCATTGCCTTTTCCTTCATGCACACTCACAGCATCGCATATAATGTGTATCCTGTGCTACGCAGCAACGAGGTTGGTCTTCGACTCCCTTGCTCAACTGGAGAGTGGAAAGCGCAGTCGGCGTGTCAGTGGCAGACTGCTCGCCAGGAAACTGAGAAGCAACAACTGTACTTCCAAGACGCTTTGTCCTTGTTACTGAGGAACACTGACGGAACCGCTCCCGTTGACCCCATTCCAACACCATTGGGTAACTACATCCTTTTGCATGGGCTCCTCCAGAGGATCTTTATTGTCCGCGATTTGTCTCTACCAGTCATGGATCAGTCAGCGTCTCTTCCCAGCGAAGAGGTTGACAAGCTTGAGTAAGTCCATTTACCCGTGTTGTCTCCCAGCTCGTGATGTGATGCTAACTTCTCGATGAAGACGAGGCCTGCGTTCCTGGACTGCGGGGTGGCAGCAAGCTCCCGAATCCAGTCTTGACCCCAACAACGAGAATGGACCCATCCCCTTCACATCCAGCTCTTTGCTCGGCCTCGCCTATGTGCGCATCTACCTTCACCTTGGTCCATACCGGCTTCTTGACTCTCGAGACCCCATGCGTATTGCCAAGGCTATCAACCGGTCTCCTGCCGTGGAGCGGAGTGGCGGCGTCATCACCGCGCTGCTGTACACTGCTCATATGCTCAGCATCCCTGTGCGACTTGGCGTTGATCGTGTCGCGCGCAGCCAGGCATTCTTCTGGAGCGTTCGTCACTCGCTTTCGGGGTTGGAGTGTGCCGTTCTGCTCAGTAAATGGCTGTCATCACTTACTGAATCTGTCGCGACGACGCCTCTTAGCGGTAAGCTGACCCTTACTTGTTCATGATTGTCTCTCCAAGTTCACTACTGATAGAAGAGCAATAGATAGCGAAGATCGGATCTTGCACTGGGTTCGATGCATTGTGGAAGAGGCGTACGATGTTGTCGATTTCGAAGACGATGAGCCCGAAACATCAACAGATCGAGATCCCGCTTCACTGAGCCTGGCGGTTCTGAGAATATGGGCACACTTTTTCAAAAGCAACACGCAATGGCCTTTCATCAACATCATCGGAAAGAGCTTGGAGAAGTACCGAGAGTTGCTCATGCGCAGCAGAAAGCAGCTAGCCACTTGATGTTGGAAAAGGCATACTTGTCGAAGAGATTCGATGTAGAAACACCAGGAAGACGATAGAGCGGGCCATCGCGAATAGGACTACAGACCCTGAAGCACCATAGGGATGCCGAATCAGCTGAAATGCTGCCTCGGATTTTGAAGTGGTGGGTGGTGGTGGGACCTTATGAAGGCTCTGTGGCGCCCTTAGTGCTGACGAGGGAGGACAGCTTGGCGGCAACTTATAAGCTCGAGGGTCTAACCTATCTTAACTGCAGCTCGAGAAAGTCAGCTGCAATCAAGACGATCTTGGATTCTTGACGTTGAGTGCGAGGTTGTTGACCCCGCTCGCTCCTGTCAAATCAATCAAGCATTTCCATGGCCACCTCCGAGGAAAAAGCTCGAGATGCTGGACCTCCCATGGTCTTGGCCGTCGGCATGCTTCGCACAGGCACGAACTCTCTTGCGGCCGCCCTTTCTGAACTGGGCTTCAAGCATGTCTTTCACGGTCTGGATTCGCGGACGAAGCCAACGCACTGGGCATTCTTCGAGCGAGCCGCCATCGCGACTTGGCCTGAAGTGAACGCAAAGGGTCAGACGCCTACTCCTACGCCGTTCACTCGAAAAGACTGGGATGAGCTCTTTGGGCCTTACGACGCGGTGACCGACCTTTCGTGTTTCTGGGCACTGCAGCTGGTCGATGCCTACCCCAACGCCAAGATCATTCTCACGGAACGCGACTTTGATAAATGGTTTCCAAGCTTCGATAGCCAGGTTATCCAACCACTATTCGGGCCGTGGGTCGACGTGCTTCTCAAGGGGGTGGGCCTGGTGATTGGCAACAGGGCTGGCTTCGCCATGCAAAAGACTATCAGCGGGTTCTTCGGTGGTGCTCGCACAATCGAGGAGCTACATCGTCGTGCGCCGGACGTCTTCCGAGAGCATTCAGAGCGCGTCAAGGCTCACGTGGCGCCTGAGAGGCTCTTGGTGTATCGCGTGGGCGAAGATGGATGGGAGCCTCTTTGCAAGTTCCTTGAGAAAGATGTGCCCAAAGACAAAGCATTCCCGAGAGTCAATGACAAAGCTTCCCATACTGAGTCGGACAGAGTCATACGCCGAGCAGCTTGGATCCAGGCTGCGTGGGCGATTGCGCCGTATGCCGTTGCCATCACGGCTGCGTACTTGGGACGTGTTTATTGGAGTCGCATCGCCTGAATATAGCCATAGCTGAGTGTTGAATTCAGTGTAGTACGGAATGAGGCATGAAGATGATTTCAAGATGTTGTCTTTATTGAAACCCAGATTGTATGTGATGCTTCCTTTTGTTGTCTTGATGCTTCCTGGCCATTGGGAGAGTACCTACCTTAGGTACCTAAGGTAAGGTACTTTGGGCTAAGGTAAGCGATAAGATGAGATAAGATAGCGATAGATCTATCTAATCGTGGTGTGCTGACATAAGGCAGACACTGGAACGGCGGAGGCCCGCCAGAGTGGCAGCTTCCAATGTCCCAGCATCCAGCAACTGCTCCTACCCCTCCATAACCGCCGTCTCCGTTCACTGGATCCACCCGCCAGCTGACGTAGCAGCGCCGCATCTCGAGCTTCAAACACCACCTCACCACCACACACTCCGCTTCTTAACGCGTCCACCTCGGCATACAACTCTCCTACATAGGAGTATATATACACTACTGTACTTGCAATTCTTCTTCGCTGCAACCTACAAATCCAATTGCACACGCACGCTTCCAGACGCACCTCGGTCCTCAACCGCCAGGATGCAGTCAGGCATCTCCGGTGTGTAGCCACTGTCCGCCCTTCTCGATAGAGTACTCGTAATCCCAAGAGCTAATGCCCGGCAGCCTCCGAGGAGCTCATCTCCCAGTTCAACACTCTCCTGTCCACCGATAGTCACTTTGGACTTCTGATCACCATTGAAGCCGAGACCTTAAAGCCCGTTCAATTCCTCGAGAAGGCATCCCCCTCTGCCTCGTTCGACGACAACCTCGCTTCCCTCCAGCCTCACCTCAAGCCCAACGAAGCCCTTTACGCCCTCCTTCGCCGCTATGACACGGCCCCGCACCTTACAGCAGTGACTTATGTCCCCGACTCGGCCAAGGTTCGCCAGAAGATGCTCTTCGCATCCACTCGACTGACCCTGGTCCGAAAGTTGGGCTCCGAGCATTTCCGCGAGTCCATCTTTGCCACCATGGCAGAGGAGCTGTCTGCCAAAGGCTTCGCGAAACATGATGCTCACACCGAGCTCGAAGCTCCGTTGACGGAGGAGGAGCGCAGCCTCGGCGCCGTTAAGCAGGCCGAGCAGGAGGCCAGCACCGGTACGGGAACCAGGGAGATCCACCTTAGCAAGACCCTGGCCATGCCCATTGCCGAGGATGCCCTCGCCGCACTCAAGGAGTTGTCACCGGACAGTGGCAAGACATTGGTGATGCTGGTATGTTTGATACCCCTGTGCCGCGTCTCTCTACTGTAGCCTCGCTGGCCGAGTGACTGACTGAATATGTACAGAAAATCAACCCCGAAAAGGAGTCTGTCGAGCTCGTCCCCTCTAGCGAAAGCCCCTCCTCTATCGCCGAGCTCACGCAGACCATTTCCTCCACCGAGCCGCGCTTCACCTTTTACCGATTCACGCACACCCACAACGGAGCCGAGTCGAGCCCCCTGCTCTTCATCTATACTTGTCCTGTCAACGCCGGCAACAGGTCCATCAAGAACCGCATGCTGTACCCTCTTATGAAGCGCGCCGTACTCGACGTGGCGTCTAGCGAGGCAGGGTTGACGCTCGATAAGAAGCTCGAGGTCGAGGACCCCAGCGAAATCACCGAGGATACGGTTCTCTCGGAGCTACACCCCAAGGTGACGGTTCGACAAAACTTTAGCAGACCCAAGAGACCTGGTCGGTAGACAAAGGGAGCCCGGCCGTGGCAGCTTTGTGGTGAAAAAGGGGGGAAAACGGTGGAATTGAGCGCGTGCAAGGCAAATTATAACCAAGGCCCGTAGATCGGGCTAATGATAGACAAGACTTCATTCGCAATGCAGTACCTTCTATGAACATTGTGCTCCGGTGCACATCTACAACTTGCACGACTTCCCATCTACCATGTTGCGCATTCTTGTCTTTTCAGAATCACAGAGCCGCCCCTTTACAGTACGTAGATAAGACGCTGGTATCTTGCATCGACAGACATTCCCTTTCTCTTTTACGTGGAAAACAAACACTTCTCTACTACGTCAGTACCGTGTCGTAAGCACGATTTACTCTTCGTAGCCAGCTCCAGAGAAGGCGAGGTTGCTCTTCTCCAGCTTCTCCTTGAGGAATTCGTAGACCGTGAACGTCACAGCCTGGCCAGGGGCAACTCGCATGATACGCGGCGTGATGCCCTTGTAGAAGGCGTGGAATCCTTCTTGTCTATTGACACAGTCAGCACGATTTTCACTTGGACGAGGGACTTGGACGAGGGACAAAAAACAAACAAAAAAGAGAGGCAGCCACATACTTGAACATGTCAGCCGAGATCTTGGTGATACGACTCCACGCGCTGACACCGTACTCTGCCGGCGTCTTTTGCAGTCTCGTCTTGATGGTATCAATCGGCGCATTACTCAACGGGCCCATGGCGCCACTGACGAGACCGATCAGAGTCGTCTGGTAACCCGGCAGCGTCGTCTTCTCAAACTCGGGCTGGTACTTCTTGAGCGCCTCCTTGAAGTACGAGTAGGCCGTGAAGTTGACGGCCTGGTTGCTGCCTTGTCGCAGAGCCGTCAGCGACACGCCGCGGTACAGCGCGCCGAAGCCTTCCTCTTTGACGACCGTGTAGAGCGCGTGCGCGGCGTTGCGGTACTTTGGGATGTCGAGGGGGTCGGCCATGCTGTGGTGCTGCGCCTGGAGGCGAATCTTGATAACCTCCATTGGCGTTACGACGGCGACGGCTTCCGTGACGCCTGCAGCGAGGCCGGCTATGACACGAGATCAAAGGTCAGTTTTGTCCGGTATGCCAAAAGAAAGGGCATAACTCTTATAGAATGACTCACCCAAGAATGTTGCCTGTCCACTGACAACCCCCGTGCTCTTATCCGCCAGAGCATTCTTGTACCCCTCGAAACTCGTGAAGCGGATGGCCATCTTGGGCACGATGCCCGTCAAGACGGCACCGAGACCCTTGTACAGACCCAGCGGCGTCTCCTTCTTGACAATCTCGACACCCGTCTTGATGAAGCCGCGCTTGGGTGCGCCGGGCTGCCTCGCGCGCCGCGACAGCTGCATTCGGACCTTGATCGTGTCTGTGGGTTTGGTTCCATGTCAATTGACTTTTTGTTCCCATCGTTTGGGTAGGCGTGTGTGCTTGCGCATGCATATGCGCGTAGCGGGAGGGAAGCTTTAGTGCCGCAGCAAAAGGTAGGGAGTCTTACCGAGGGGATGACATGCCAATGCCTCCATCATGCCTGCACCACCTCCGGCTGTTTGGTCGTGTTAGTGACGATGTCTTTTGCCGCGCCGGTCTTGCGAGAGGAAGTGTACATACCAATGAGGTTCACGGCCGCCGAGGTCGGCGCCTTGCCGTCTTGTTTTACCTTGGACGCCATGATGCAAGATGTAAAGAGTAGACGATAGCACTAATAAGGAAGAGAAGGGAGGAGAGGAGAGCTGGACAGCAAGTCTTGCGCCGAAACCAACAAAGGAGAAAGCGAGCACTGGTGTTGTTGATCTGGAGTATAGATGGGAGGCGAGATGCGTCACAGTAAATAAGAGAAGAAGGAGGGTATCATGAGAATCACAAGGGAGAAAGCTGGCATGGGAAGAAGTCGGAATAGATTAAGAAGAAGATTCGGAACAAGTCGCTGCCAGGGACCTACAAAGCCAAAGCCAAACATCCTCGGCGCCGATGACAGAAGCCACGGCAGAGCGGGCAATCATGTATATAAAAGGTGGCGCATACGGTACTGACTAGATGGAGGGGGGGCATGGCATAGCATGGCATGGGAGGGGAGGGGAGGGGGGTGGCCAATGTCAAAGGCACGCCGCACAAGCCAGAATAGAATCAGGACAGGAAGAAGCAGATGACTCGAGGTTTCGTCCCGAGCACAGGCGTGTAAGGCGGTCTTGGTCTTGTCTTGCGGAGAGGAAGAGGAAGAGAGAGTGTGTGTGTGTGCCTGGTGTCATACACACCGGTAACGGGGACTGTAAGTTTGAGGAGCTAAACAAGAAAAGCATATGAGGAGAAGGTCTTCTCCATCTCCCCTTTCACCCGCGGCACAACGAGGCCAGCCAGACAGACATCAGCGCTTGAGCCTAGGACGGCAGCACACACCAGCGCCAGGGGTTTCGGTAAACCGGGCGCGTGAGGGGGAAGGGGGGGCGTGTACGGAGAGACTTCTATGCCTTGTTATGCTGAAGGATCAACATTCTAGAGAAGAGAGAGATGAAGAGAGAGAGAGAGGCAGCACGGGACCAAATGTCTGAGTGGCTCAAACCATTGAACTCTTCAGACGTCTGTGACTCTGTAGCGGGTTGCGCTGCGACAGACCATCCCGATTCGGCGGAACGGAGGCCAGGCGGGGTGTGATTGGCATATTGGAGACCGCAAGCGTACCTTGGGCCTCATCTTCATCTCAGGTTCTTGGTATTCCTTGCAGTTGGATCAGCTCCAGTCTCCAATTGGACTTCCGGTTGAGCGTTGAACAGACACTGGCTGGACCAAGGGAGCTGAGTTGCATACCTACCTCAAGCCTGGAGTGAGTGTGATCATGTGTTGTTTGTCCATCACTCGATTCATCATGTCTTTTCATTCTTCCTTTCTTCAAGTCTCCTCGGCCTGTGACATATCACTCCACAGTCCACACTTCACCTAAAAGTGACGTAGCGGCAGTTCCAGCGTGCGGCATGCTGCGGCAGAGAATAGACATACACACACACCGAAAAGGGAGAACAAACGGGGCCATTGGGCCATTGGGGGGGACAGCCAACTCGCAGCTTTGCCGACCCCAAGCCGAGCTTGTGATTTTGCGGGGGAACATCCAAATGGCAAAGACGCGACGGCGGCTGCTGCAAGGAAGTGCGGTAACTGGGAGTCAGAATGTGGGGAGCCCAGGCAGTGGTGAGTTGGGGGTGCCCGGCTACTTCCGCCCTTCCGACTGGCCAGACTCATTCGCCAGAAGTTGCCGAGGTTCGGACGCTGGTCCTGGCCTTCCTCTCACTC